TGTGTTCAGAGTGTGAGGTTTCTGCATTGCAAAAGTGCTTAATGTGCAGTTGAGTCCAAGTAGCCTGTGACCGAGAGGCCAAGATGAAGAATCTAACAGAACTGACTGCGAGTGAAGCTCGATGTAAATTGTATGCTGATAGGATCCAGTTTATGGCAGTACTGATCTTTCTTCTTCTTTTTTAAAAGGTATATTTCTTTTTTCAGAAAGGCAAATTAACAGAGAGAAAGATCTTCCATCCACTGGTCCCCTCCAAATGGCTGCTCATGGCCAGCGCTGAGGCAATCCAAAGTCGGAAGCCAGGAGCGTCTGGGTCTCCCACACAGGTGCAGGATCCCAAAGCTTTGGGCCGTCCTCTACTGCTTTCTCAGGCCACAGAGTTGGACGGGAAGTGGAGCAGCTGGGACACAAACCGGCACCTATACGGGATATGGGATCCTGGCATTTGAAGCATTAGCCAATTGGCATTTCCAACAATGAACTATTCTTGTCTCAACAGTTAAATATTTGCAATCTTGGTAATGAATTACTTTGAACTTTAAGAGAAACGAACGCTCCTTTAAGAAAGCATTCTATCCTTCTCTATTAGAAAAACTAGTATTTGATTACCATTTCAAATTGTGAGAAAAACTTGTAGAATCCCAAGAACCTCTTTAAAATCCTGGATGTTCCTATGATTTCAAAGCCTGCAGTACTTACTGGCAGGTGCTTGAGGCAGCTTACTGGGCCCCGAGCCTAAGGGTGGGAGACACATCATAGCCACAAGCCTGAGGAGGTGCCAGCCATGCTCCACGGGCACAGCCAGTGGTGGAGGGGAGGTGCAGAGGGCAGAGCTGGTGAGGCACCTGTTTTGCACCCGCGTGGGATACCCGGAGGAAGTTCCTTTCTCCTGGTTCCAGATCGGTACAGTACCGGCTGTTGCACTCACTGGGGAAGTGAATCTTCGGATGGAAGATCTTCCTCTCTGTTCCTACTCCTCTCTGTGTATCTGACTTAGTAATAAAAATAAAATAAATCCTTAAAAAAAAAAAAAGATGTCTTATGGCAAATGTTATTATATTTCCAACAGAAATTATGCTAAATGAGAGCTGCCCTGGATACCACTGAGGGTGTTATGTTATCCACAGTATGTATGTATCTTGCTTGTAAAGGGAAGAAAATCCTGAATTGTTAACATCTCTTAAGGTTTTAGATAAGGGACAGAACAAAGTTCTAAAACAACAAAGCCTTCTGCTGTGCACTACTGCCATCTGCAGACAGCAGCTTGGAACTACAAGGGAAAGGTTTCACCTTGCTTATAGTGCTAACATCACCCACAGTTGGAGAGAGTTGAGGAGTTCTATTTTCAAAATCTACCACTAAGAAAGACAGTAAGTAAGGTTTTGAAATGGTGTGACATACTGAATCTTGTTTTCCGTCTGTACTAGGTAAGCACCTGAAGTTGGGTACCTCGCCGTGACTTGACAACAAGTGATCGAATCACTCGAATTGTGCTGAAAGCCAAAGATAAGCACGGATGCCGTGAAAACGACACCACCGTGATACCACCAGAAGGTATGTGCGGGGGCTCTGCTGGCAACAGGGGTGTGATCGCGAACCTTCACCAAACTGTCAAAAACACCTCGTGCCCTCCCGAGAGGTTAACTGCGCAAATAACGTGACGCCTCCGGCAACGTGACCTTTCGTCCTCTGTTCCTCCGCCATCACCCCAGGTGGCGCCAACTCTTTGGAAATGTGTCACAGACCTTCTGTGGAGTTTTGCGATGCTCACCTCCCGCTTGAGGAGCTCCCATCTCAGGAATTAGCTGACCCAACTGGTACATTAGATGGTTTGTGTCTCCTCTCCAGCGAAAGGGCTCTGAAGAAACCGCACGGCTTCCACTGCGAAGCACTAGGCTTGCAACTGTGCCCCGTATGGAAATCCAGAATCAGTACAGGCAGCACCACGCCTTCATTACACAGATGAGTAAAGCAAAGTCCAAACAGAACAGAGTACCCTAAAGCTTTGCAAAGAACTGTGATTGCTCCCTCAGCGACTCCTATAGAAAACGCAGTGTTTGTGCCACCTGTCAACAGCACACGGCCTGTACCCCTCCTTTGGTCCCGTTAGCGCAGGTGAACCACCACTCGGTAACCTTGGGACTACAAGCGTCTCCGATGCGGAGAATCTTTCAGCTTTTGCCATACACGCATAAGCTTCACCGATCAAGCTTCCCAAATCTGAAAGCCCAAAACGCTCGAAAATTTTAGCTTCTCCGATTCTCAGAAGGCCCCGTTTAAGACCGGAACTCAGCATTTACGAGGCCATCAGCTGCCCAGCTTTTCAGGGCATTTCCACTTCATTAACGGGTGCGATCGTAGTCACTAATTTAGAGCATACATTTCCAAGAAAAGAAAGGAAAAATTACAAACTGGAACGCCATCTTACTGTTTCTGTTCTCAAGGCTCAGGTTGCAGGAGTTCCCACGCCTGGCAGGACTGTTACGCCCACATGCAGCAGCCGCGGCACTAGCAGGAGCGAGCATCCCAACTGGCCTCGTCCTCAGGACGCAGTGGGGTACAACAAAGCAGACCTGGATGGTCTGTAAGCATGTGGAAAGGGCTTATGAAGGGGGAAAAACCCAAAAGTATTATCACTGAAAGAAATTTATTCTTGAAAAATACCTTCATACACACTTGCATAACTATCTTGAGGGGAACAAGGAGATTTACCCTAGAGTCAATGTCGGCTTAGAACATTAAGTGACATATGTGCAAACTATACAGTTGGTAATAACTGGGAACAGTTGGGTTTAAAGTTGGAAATAGCTGTGTTCATAGTAATTAAGACTGAAATACATGGACAATCTCCGATCCGATGGATCCACATTATTACGCAAACCAACACTTGCCATTTTTGTAACTTCTCCAATACTGTAACCCTTAATTCTATGCATAAATGAGTGGAGCTCTTGCAAATTACAAGCGGCCAGGACATGGGGAAATTCCAGCAGTGGAAAACGGTAATAACGTCCTCCCTTTTCAACGGTTAACATATAATAAAAGAAAAACATGAATTCTTATTTAAGCAAAGATATCTTTATGAAAAAAAGATGTGCTTCTTGCCTAGAAAAATCCTTTAATATCTTGTTACCTAATACAGCAAAAACCCTTAAAAATGCATTAATGAAGATTCCATTTGCATGTGAAATCCAACTCCCTCAAAATGGGTTTTTCATCGGGCAATTTTAAATAGCAAAGTCTTCTTAGAACAGAAAAATAGAGCATCTCAATAGATTTCTCAAAAACAATAACATTTACAGGATGCCACCTATAACGAGAAACCACCACGAAGCAGAAATACAAGTCATCATTTCATTATCCTTTTCTCAGCAAACTAAGGAGATCCAGGTATCAGTGGAAACGTGTTCTGGGTGAAGTCATTTGTACTGAGCAAAGCATTCTCACAAAATAGGAATTTTTCCCCCCCTGAGAATCAAGTTAAATCTGTTCTTGGATTGCAATCAAGACAAAGACAGGAGCTCTAAACCCTCAGTCATATCAAGGCCACAATCGCGTGGACATTTTCACTGGCTAAGACGCACAAGTGGAAGGTGTGTAAATAGCTGGACACGGTGCTTAACAGTAGTAGTATCATGGCAGAAAATCATGGCATTTGGTAAAATATATCTAAGCGACATTTGGCAAAAATTGTATTGCTGTTGATGGAACAAGCACCACTGAGGAAGAAAAGATGGTTAGAATTAACCACCTTTTAATCAACAATATGTGTTTATAGGAAAACTGCTTAAAGAAGTAGTTCCGGAAAAAGGTAAGTCAGGAAATTTTTGCATTATCTGTTTCAAATATGTTCCCCACTTTATTAAATAGACAATCAGCAATCTATTTTAGTAAAGTAGTATCAGATTTGCTAATGTCAGTCTGATCATCATCCAACAGATATAAAATCAAGGGACAGAAAAGTTATATTCAAACTTATAAAACAAGTTAGAGCATTATAAATTAATTTTTATGCCAAAAACATTTCAGATACTTATTGCTTAAATATACAGTGATTACAACATCTGAAATTTTCCAAATTTTGATTGAGAAAATTTCTCTCGTGTGCTAACACTTACCCTAAGGGAGAATGAAACACCTAAGGGATATGAGAATACCACCTACCCCATCTCCCCCTCCCACACAACAGGTTGCACGAGCTATCGAGCTATCGTCACTATGGCAATTCAGGAATTAGAAACAAGGAAACAACATGATTACAGACATGCTCTGCAGGGTTGGTCAAAGAACGTGTTTATAATTTGCAGATAGCACTTGCTCAGTCTTTTGAAAGCAGGATTGGAAGTAAACTTCCTTATTCTAAAAGGAAAGGTCTGAACAGACAAATTGCTATGCAGAAGCACAAAAGTTTTTTTTTTTAATGCATTCTTCTATAAGAAGTAATTAAATCATACTAGCCAAACAATCTAACATTGAAGGTGATTCCTCCCCGGGATGGGCTCCAGCCACCAGTCTGTCTTTGTTTTTCATTTAAAATATCAGAATGACTGCCCTGGCAACCTTCCTAGTGAAATGTGAAACTGTCTTACCTAAAGGAGCTTGATTTTATAGAACAGTGATTTCCGCAAAGTGGCGTTTCTAAAAGTAATGTTATCCACTGTATGCACCAGTCACATTTGGGAGCAGGCATGAAAATTCTAATAAAACTGGTTTTAGAGTTCTAGAGTATCATACAGTTAACACTTCAGCATGATCTGTACCCTTAAGGGGGAAAAATAAATAAATACAAATCAAATCTACATAAATGAAGGTTTCGGATACTTTTGCGGTGTCACAGAGAAGCAAAAAGAGAATTTCATAACTTTCATCAGACATTTTTTAAATGAAAATGTCTTGATGCTCTCGTTTCCGACGTAAGTATCCTTGATATATACATGTACGTGGACATGTACGTGTGCGTATCTGATTGATCGGGATGATGCAGAAAGCCACCAATGAGAAAAGCGCACTAAGGTTTTAATAAAGGGAACAGAGTCGTTGTCACCAGCATAGATTCACATTACAGTACACCAGGACTGACAGCATTCTCTTGTCTGGTTTTGGTACAGAAGATGTTATCTCTCCGTATAACTCTGTAAGGCTTCAGTAACTAAAACAAACAAACAAACAAAAAAAAAAACCCAAACAAAACGAAACAAAAACCCCAGCCTATTAGTTTACAGTTTATTTTAAAAATTCTGAGAGACACTGCAAGTTCTAAACTTTAGTAGTGCTACCCATATACAACCATCTGGTCGAAAACCCGGTGAGAGCGCCCCCTTGCACGGGACTTTGCAACAGCAGAGTTGTGCAATATGGATGTTTCTTACTACAAGGAAAAAAAAAAATCATACATGGCACATTCTCATTCATATTTGTAATGTAAAAAGTTACAAACATACCTAATCAAATAAATAATAATAAAAAAAAAGAATTTGAATGTATCTGTTAAGTATTCTAAAACCACTACATAGAATAATGGCAACTTTCACTCGGGGATTATTTACACGGCGATACCCAGTGTGGGTACAATGCTACAAAACTCAAACCAGGAGGAGTAAACTTGAAATGCTGTCCATAGTCAAGCCCAGCAGCACAACTATCTAATGCTCTCTCACCCCGTTCCTCGTTAGTCTGTGTCTTCGTCCAGCTCATAATTGTCTTTGTCATAAATATCTTTGACTAGAAGAACCCGTACGAGCATGTTTTCCAAGGTGTTTCGGTCCAAGGAAGTAGACGTGTACCAGACCGGGCTGTCTGAGGAACTAGAGCGTTCTGGTTGCAAATAAAAAACATCTGTTCTCTGGTTGAGATTCTGTGGACTGTGACGAAAAGCAAAGTCAAGTCAATTTCCAAAAACATACATGCACAGAAATTCACACATTTTTTCTACCTTTAAGACTAATTCAGACCCATTAACTCCATTTCGTAGTCACACTGAATGTCTCATTCATTACCAATACTCTCAAAGCTAATTTTTTGTGTTTAAAAAAAAATTAAACTCACCATAATTAAACTCTAAAGCTCACCGAATCCAAGACATTGATAGGCCTTAATTGTAATGTTACCACTAAGCAAATAAAACATTGTCATTATAGATCAGACAGCAAAACGTGAAAAATGCAGTCAAATGAGAAAAAAATTTTTTTTTCTCAGAATTGATTAAATGTGGCAGCACACAAAATCCAAATTTACAGCAGTACAGTGGAGCCAGCCAGAAGGAATCAGAGAACAACAGATTGCTCCCGTCTACTGGTTCACTTCCAAACCCTGCAGCAGCTGGGAAGTGAATCCCGGGACCCCGCGTGGGCAGCAGGGAGCCACGGCAGGCCACGGCAGGCCACGGCAGGCCTCTCAGAGCGGAGCTCAGAGGCAGAGGCCGGCACCAAACCCAGACATCCTGACTTGGTACACGGGCATCCCAGCTGGTGGGACCCAAAACTTAACAAAGCCAACAGAAAACAGGTTTCTGAGACACCAACCCAACCCAGAGTTACTACTGCTGAAGACCCGGATGCTACAGAAACACCCTAACTGAGTCAGAGACAGCAACCGCTGTACAAATACTAGTGTCTGCTCAGTACTTGCAAGCCAGCCTGAGGACACACATTTTTTACCTAAGGATACATGCTAACTAAGTTGGTGCTAATCTTTTGGAAATTTTAGAGTGGGCACTTACATCACTGGGTATACATAAAACAATCTACAGTCCCTTAACATTTCATGGATTTGCACATTTTAAATGTTTATCTCATACTGAAGAGAAGAGCACTGAGATAATTGTAATAGCATTCCAACAGCACCAGCCCCGCCCACGGACCCCTGCAAGGACCGTTTCTGCTAAGCACACTGTTTTCATCTCCACCTTCTCTGTTCTACCTTTGGATACTCCTTTATAGCAAGGAAACCGCGTCAGGTTGTACCAACACAGCCGCGTGCCAGGATTTATGTCAAAGGAGGTCTCAGAAGGTCTGTGGAACACGGGAGTGAGAGGTAACACGAAGGGCCAGCATCACACTCCAGCACCGGCCAAGTCCAGGCTGCTCCACTGCATCCAGCTCCCTGCTCATGTCCTTGGAACAGCATCGGAAGATGGTTCCAGCGCTCGGGCCCGGCACCCGCACCAGTAACACAGGCGGAGCTTCAGGCTTCCGGCTCTGACCTAGCCCAACCTGGCAGTTCCAGCTATTTGGGAAGTTTATCCAGCATTTGCAAGATTTCTCCCTCTCTTTCCTTCCTCTTCTAACTGTCTTTCAAATAAATAATTTTTTTTTAAAGAAAACAACTTTAAAAAGCAACGTGAATTTCCAAAAATCTTTTGAAAACACCTCGTTTGTGGTTACTTGCTTTCTAATCTAGTAGTTGCAACAGAAACTCTACAGCGTAAAAAGCCCAAAATATTTATAATCTGACTCCACCGAAACTTTGTGCCTCCTGTTTTGTAAATTGAAAATACTCTAAAGGAAGATCACAGCAGTAGTAATTTTACCAGTAGAAAAGTGACTTCTTAAATTGGTGCAACCAAATAAAAACAAGGGAAATATAGCATTCTAAATGAAGGGACTTGGGCTATATATAGTGAGGGTAAGATTTTAAAAACGCCACCTTTTGGTAGCATTAAATTCCAAACAAACGATACTACCATTTTGTGCAGCATCATCGACGCTCACCTTTTCGACAAGTAACACTCAAACAGCTTCACAGGACACCTCGCTGGATTGGCTGTGTTTTCAATTTGTTCAAACACTGGTTCATCATCTTCGTGTTTTCTTTTTCCAGTAGTAATTTTATCTTAAACAAATAAAAAAATAAATCTCCTAAAACCAATCTTAAGAACGACAGGGCTATTCCCTCGTAAGCGCCTGTTACACCCAAGCCTGGGACTAGCGTCCCCTTTAGAGCAGGCTCTAGCTTCTGCCAGGGCCCGTTTCAGAAAGGAACAAAAATACCTTCAGACACATTTTCTTATATCATGAGAATTACAATGTGTAACAAGCGTTTGTAACAAGCGACCCGAACATTTCCTAGGAAGGCAAAATTCAAACATCCCACCGCAGACAATCTCAAAACGGCTACCTTCGGTATCTGTTCCGCATAAGGAAGACACTTGGTATCGGAGACAGGCTTTGTTTTCCATTGTTAAAGGATTTTTTTTCCAATGCCTAAACACAGTGCCAAAGGAAAGTCTTAAGTGTTGTTCCACTGTTTTCAGGCCAAAATACTTAGTGTTAAAATAGAACAAGGTATTCAGGAGGGCTACTGGAGAGTGTGATCCTAGTTGCTTTATCCTCCAGAGATAGTCTTCTTCAACTCGAGAGAATATTGACCCTTAAATAGAGAAAACTGTTTTTTAAAAATTACAATAAATATAACAATTTCTATTCAACGCTCAAGAAATAAAGCTAAGGACAAATTTATACCAATCCTCCATTCAAACTAGGTCAACTGCAATGAATTCAGAATTACCTACATATCTAACATTAAACTATGGAACTATTGCCTCTGCAGTAAGGGGCTGGATGTCTGTGTCTGTTCCTCAATTGGAGAAGCAGTCAACAGACAGAAAAGATGTTAAATCTATAGATTCTTGGGAAACAGACAAACAAAGAAACAGGTGATTTTCATAAACACATTTTCTCCATCTTTTAAAACTGGTTTAAGAGAAATTTTATACCAGAATTTCCACTAGAGCCATCCAGTTTCTTATTCTAGAGAAGAAGGTCACATTTCTTACAAAATTCTATATACTAATTAGCTATAGGTCATATGCATTTCTAATTCAACAAGACATGACCAGATGAACTCTTAAGTCTTCTGGAAGAAAAACAAGAACAAAAACCACACTAATTTAATTTCTCCATTATTTTTTAACATGCTTTTTGCAAAATGAATGATCCCAGTCACAACGTAACAACACCTTTATTTTTAAAATAGTATTACCATCTGGAAGTATGCTTGGTTGCCAACTTCGCAGGATCTTATTGAGCTCCTGCTCAAAGGTCTGGTACCCTGGGTCAATAAATATGTTGTCTTTTCGATTACTACCGCACAGGTACTACAAAAAAAGACCAAAAATAAAAAGTCAGTCAGTTATCAGTGGCAATTATAATGCTAGATTTCTTAAGAAAATAAAGCTTTACACCTAATACCAAACATATAGCACAAGAAATTGCTATACCCCAAAATCGTCAATTACCAATTAATGTTGCTTAAAAAAAAAAAACAAACACCCTCAAAATGACAATACACACACCCAGATATCAGAATGTTAAAATCTTAATGACAATCTTCAGTCTAGCAGGTAAAACACATATGATAATAGTACTTACTATGAGGTACATGGAGAAAAACTGAAATTTTTCAAGAATTAAATTAATGGCTAAAACAAACGCATGAAAAGGCAAGGTGAAGAAGGGTGAATCACTGCTCTGGAGCAATCAAAACCCCTCTGCTAAAACTCCGAGTTACTCAGCTAACGCTGCTTCCTGCTGCATTTTATCTGCTTAATATGTGAGCCAGTTCCAATTTACAAATCCTAGCATTTATTATGGGGAAATCTTCCATCTTGACAGTGAGGTCTAATACAGAATAATCTAAGCTTTCCCTCTTGCTGTGCTTTTAAATTAAGTAACCAAGCCTTTAAAAACCCCTCCATGTGAACTGAACGAGGCAGTCACTGATTAATTTAAGCCTGCCAACAGTGGTGATGTTATTACATGTGAAAACCAACGTCGGTAGACTAAAGCGTCGCAGGTGAACCACAGCCCCGTGTGGATTTAGTAAAGCTTTCCTGGAACGCTGGTGCTGAATCCTGTGTGCAGTGTTGAAGGTTTCACTCTTGCTACAATGGCAGACTTAAATGGTTGCAAGCACCAGCATGATTCATAAAGTCTAAAACATGCATTATCTGGTCCTTGATAAAGAAAGATGGTTAGCCCCTTATGCAGATACACCAAGTGAAAGAAATAGACTAAATATAAATAAATAGGTTCAACAACATGCTATTTACAATTAACTCCAGTTCAAAAAGACACATAAAAGAATCATCCATAAACTAATGAAAACCTACACGGCAGTGCAATCCTGGGACGACAGCGCTGCTCTTACGAGGCCCAGCTCACACATACTCCACGGTCAGACCACAGGTCCCACAGATCCGCCATAGGGAGTTTTGAGTCCAACAGTTCAGTCAGGCGGATCCCCAAAGAAACCTCATCTGAAGTGATCCCAGAACTGACTCCTGTGTGTGCTTGCCAATACCGGATCTGGCACAGGCCTTTATCCCAATCAGTTTATGCACCTGCCGGTAGTTTCAATTGCTTGTTCAGTTCTGTGTCCAGCCCTGTCTCATGGAAACCAATGGATGCTGCGGCCCAGCCCAACCCTTGGCCCTCACTTACAACAGCGGGAGCTGCAGCATAATTGGAGCAACCCCCAATTAATTCACATTAGGCCTGCTCCCAGCCGTGTTTCCTGTGCTTTTCCAGTGTGTGCAGTAGACTGGTCCAGTCTGCATCACATCCTATTCAGCTCTTGTACACGCCAATGAGCGTTAAAACTTAGCTCAACCCAACTGATCCCACTATCCAGTCCACACTCATGTTGGGAGGTGCCATTGCCTGTCTGGCCAGGCCTTTCCCAGCCCTGGTTCTCATGCTTACCAGTGGGGTTTGTAGCCCATCAAAGGTGCCCCCAGTTTTCCTACTGGGTCCATTCCAAGTCCTGGATCTTGTACTATCCAGGTGGTCCTGCAGTCCAATTTGACAGATTTACCCCAAGTCCCAGCACTTGCCAGCTGATGCTGCAGCAAAGCTCAACCAGTCTGCACCTACCATGACTCACACATGCATCAGTGAATACCAGTTAGCCCCTAAGTCAGTCTACATGCAGGCCAACAGGTGTTGCAGCCCTGCCCAGCCTGGTCCCAGTTATCAGGCTAGCCAGTGAGAGCAATGGCCCAGCAAGCGAGCCATGCTGTCCCCCTGGCAGGTTGGTATCCCACCCTCTGAGCCTCTTGTGCGTTGGTGGGTTTGTGGAGCAGTCTGGCATGGCCTGCCTCATCTCGGCATTTGCCGAGGGGTTCTGCAGCCTAGCCCAGCCAGCCAACCTTGCCTGTTTTACACCCCATCCTGGTTCTCAGATCTGCCAGCAGGTATTATAAACTGGCCCAGCCCAGCCTGCCCCAGTTCCAGCTCATGCTGGTGGGTAAAGCACTAATTTACATTCTGTTCTTACTACTAAGCAGTCTACGTAATAAAAAACGAGCAAATTTGTCTTGAAATGATGTCTCCATCTGTTAATTTACTGAAAAAGAAAAATTAATTTCTGTTCACATTTAGAATCTGAAAAATAACAATAAGCCAAGGGCAGGCGTGGAGTGTAGCAGGCTGAGCCACACAGACACAGCAGTGTCAGTTCAAGTCCTCGCTGCGTTGCCTCCCAGGCCAGCCTCCTGCTAACAGACACCAGCCACCCACACGGGTGCCCCTGGGTCCCAAGTTCCTCGCTTCTGTCTGCCTGCCCTCACTGCTGAGCGATCCAGGGAGTGACTCAGGACATGACAGCAGTTTCATTCCCACTCTTTCTTTTTCTGCAAATGAAAATAAACCATTCAACAGGAGGGGAAAAAAAGATAACAAGCAAAAAGTGCTAAGTTTTCGCCTCAGTTCCACTAAATTATAATATCAATTTACAATATAATGCCGATACTCAGTCCTTCTGCAAAGGCCTCTCTCTCTAGGCAATCAAAGACACATTAGTTAAATGATCTATGCCCTGGTTGTTACAGAGTGAATATACTTTACTAGTCATTAAAGAATGCTTTACCACTGTTGTTACTATTCAGCTGAAGGGCCCGGCACCCAAGCGGGAGGCCGGCCTGGAGTTCCCGGTCACACCTGGTGCCTGGGACTGCTCAGGCGATGAACCAACAGAGAGATCTCAACCTCCATCTCTCTCTCTCACACACTCTCCATACCCTGACTCCTTATTTTCCATCCTCTTTCACTCTGCTGTCTGCCTTTCAAAGAAGTAATAATTTAGAGCCCGGTGCGATAGCGTAATGCTTAAGGTCCTCGCCTTGAACGCAGCAGGAACCCATATGGGAGCTGGTTCTAATCCCGGCAGCTCCACTTCCCATCAAGCTCCCTGCTTGTAGCCTGAAAAAGCAGCTGATGACGGCCCAAAGCCTTGGGAACCTGCACCTGCATGGGAGACCTGGAGGAGGTTCTAGGCTCCTGGCTCCGGATCGGCATGACCCCGGTCGTTGTGGCCACTTGCGGAGTGATTCATTGTAGAGAATATCTTCCTCTCTGCATGTTTGCCTTTCCAATAAATAAATAAATCTTTTTAAAAAAAAGTAATAATTAAAAAAATTTTGTTTGATCCTTTAGTTGCTTATACCAAAGAAAAATTACGATCTTTAAAAATCCATTAATACGGAGCGCGACTTAATGGCTCAATTGACTAATCCTCGCCCTGCAAGCACTGGGATCCCATATGAGCACCAGTCATGTCAGGGCTGCTCCACTCCCTCTAGCTCCCTGCTTGTAGCCTGGGAAAGCAGTGGGGAATGTCCAAAGTCTTGAGACCCCCCTGCATCCGCATGGAGACCTGGAACAAGTTCTTGGCACCTGCCCTCAGATCGGCTCAGCTCTGGGTATTGCAGCCACTTGGGGAGAGGACAGGCAGATGGAAGATCTTTCTCTCCTCTCTGTAAATCTACCTTTACAAGCTAGGTTTCAATGCCCATCAATGGACATGAGAATTGAACGGATATGGGACAGACTGAACCAGTCTGCTGCACACACTGCAAAGCACAGGAAACACGGCTGGGTGCAGGCCTAATGTGGGTTAACTGGGGGTGGCTCCAATTAGGCTGCAGCTCCTGCTGCTGCACGTGAGGGCCAAGGGTCAGGCTGGGCCGCAGCATCCATTGGTCTCCGTAAGAGACGGGGCTGGACACAGAACAGCAACTGCAACTACTATACACAAGTATAGCACTGCTTAAATAAATTCTATGTATTTCAAAACCTTGAGTGCAGCATCTTATATGAGGAACAGTTCAGGCCCCAGCAGGTCAACTTCCAATTGAAGTAGGCTCATGGCCTGAGGAAAGTAGCAGAAGATGGCCTGTGCATTACAACCCCTGCCACCCATGTAGGAGACCGTGAAGAAGTTCCTGGCTCTTGGCTTCAGCCTGGCACAGCCATGGCTACTGCGGCCATGTGAGCAGGGAGTCAGTCAACGGAAGATCTCTCTTTAGAACACTGACTTCCAAAGAAATCTCTTTTAAAAAAAGACAAAAGAAAAATGAAAGGAGAAAAAAAAAGTCGTCACTAGATTTAAAATTTAGGAGCTCTGCAACTTGATTTCTTCATCAAAACTGTGTTGATAATCACGGTAAAGGCCGTCAAACATGCCTTCCAGCAACCAGCACTTAGCTACCATCTGTTCGCTAACTACGAAGGGTATAAAAAACTCTGAATCAAAGAAAGAAATCTATAATGGCCTCTGAACAAGTTAGCAAGCTTAGGAATGTTACATATACTTTAATAGAATTTCATTATGTTCAGGATACCGCAAAAAGGGGATGCAAGATGGAATTCAAAGACAATCTAAACTTGATACAATTTTCTGCTTTAAATCTGTACATAGTGTTTTTGTAGTAGGCATTTTCCTTAATATTTTGAAAGACCATTAATACAAATTTAACATCCATAATTCTATTTAAATTATCAGGGAACAAAACCAAAATGGTTAGGTATTTCTGAGTGCACGGACTTAATTCTTGCAAATAAAAGATATATTTCTTTATAGAGATATGTAAGAAGACCACACAACCTCTTCTTCTTGCTGTCAGTTGTGAATGTAACAGAAAAACGGGCACGTTCTTTAAAATAACTCCTACTCCTTTACATGTCCTTAAAGTAACATTTCTCAGAAGTCTACTGCAGAGATCTTTACACTGAGGCTTAGGATTATTTTTCAACTGCATAAAAATGCCACACCGCTTTAAAAAACAAGTTTGTGAAAATGTATCCAATAAAGGAACAAACAGCACCCAGAATCCCCCCCGGCCCCAAATCTGGCCAATAATAAAATGTAACATCCTAACCATTTTTAAATACAAAGTACGTTAAGGAAATATTTGAGAAGGTATCAGTAATACAAGGTACCTATTCATAAAAAGAAGAAGAAGAATGTGGCATATGCTACAAGGATGAACCCTGAATGCATCATACAGTAAGTGAAGTGAATCAGACACAACACAAGGAAGGGATGACTCCGCTTATGAGGCAGGCAAAGTGTCAAATGCATAGAAACTAGAAATACAGTCATAAAGAACTGGCGCACAAGTAATGGGGGGGGGGGGATATTTAAAGGGCACAAAGTTTGTTTCAAAAGATGGAAGAGTCCTAGAGATAGGAAGTAATACTGGTTGCAAATCAATGTATTCTGTCCCATTGTGCTATAAAAAGGATTCCTAAAAAATAACGAACTGAGCAATAAATACACTACCTCTACTAACTCCGAAATGAGTATGTTGTTGAACTAGCTATTGCAGTTTCCCACGGTAGCACAGTACATTAGCAGCCACCTCTGTGTCTAGAGAAGCAGCAGCAGATGGCCCAGGTGCTTGGGCTCCCATCACACGGAACACCCAGACACAGGTTCTGATGCGTGGCCTTCCCAATCCCAGCTGTTGCAGCAATGTGGGAATGAACCAGCAGTTAGAAGCATTCTTATTCTATAATGTAACCTTTCAAATAAATAAAAAAATATTTTCTAAAAAGGAAAGAATTGAATTGTAAACTGTGACTTAAAGGGCTAATGCCACTAAACATACTTCAAACATTGGTAAAATTCAAACTAGGCTTAATTTTGTTATGTCTCTTACTGTAGTAACAACAAACGTCGCGGGGGTTTGCACAGTCTGTTTAAAGTGACAACTGATAGCCATTCAAGGTATGGTACAGTCACATCTCAACCCCCTCACTAATACACTATTAACATTTGAGTACTCCATCCAATACAAACAATCCAGAAACTCAGCTTCTTATGATAGTTTTCCTCACGTGCTCAAACAAAATGAAAATATAATATGTAAACATTGATAGCATACAGGAAAACTAGTTTTAGAGGAAAGTTTATATTTTTAAATACCTTTCTAGAAAAACCAAAAGTCTAAACTAAAATACATAAACATCCATCTTGAGTAATTAGGAAAAAAAAGGGGAGGGGGGGAGCACAGGGCCATGCAGGTGCCACAGCTAGCACCCTGCCGGGCCATGCCCTATTAGAGGGCCATCCACACCTCCTCCTATGGCATGCTCCGGCAGCATCAGGTGGCTCACCCACACTGCGGCTATGGAGGAACATCCGGGCTCCTAGCACCCACCAGGCCCAGTGCCCCCTGCTGTGAACAAAAGAGAAACGATCGAAGGCTGGGGAGTTCTATAAAACAAAATGAAAATAAATACTTCTAAAATTAAATTGTAAAGATCAGAAACTGAATAAAAAAGAAAACCAACAAGTTATACCCACTTGTGTAGATAAGCAATCTACACCAGCTACCACGTAGTCCCATTAGGCCCAATCTCACCAGTAATATGGGTATTTTTACCCCTTAAATAGCATGCGAACCAAAAAACGCAGTTTTTTTTTTCTTTTTTACATTTATAAACAGTTAATTTAAAGCAGTTATCTAAGCAGGTATATTACATAGTATTTTAGTTTATTTCTAATCTGCAAAACATAAACTATTATTATGTGACCCTTTATTTAGAAATTCATTGATTTCCTGAGTTACGCTATTAAATACACAAAAGGTACAATTAATTTAAATTTAAGGATTAGCAAGTCCTCCACACAGTAATGGAGTACTTTAAAAAAAAGAGAGAGAGACAGATTTATTTATTCACTTTGAGTGGAAATGCAGATTTATGCAGAGACAAAGAAAAATTTTCCATCTGCTGGTTCATTCCCCAAGTGGCAACAACAGCTAGAGCTGACACAATCAGAAGCCAGGAGTTTCTTCCAGGTCTCCTATCGGGTGCAGGGTCCCAAGGCTTTGGGCTGCCCTCTACTGTTTTCCCAGGCCACAAGCAGGGTGCTGGATGGGAAGTGGAGCAGCCAGGACATGACATATGGGATCCTGGTGCTTGAAAAGGGGGATTAAGCCCTTGAGTGATCAATCACAAAGGGCTAGATACTAACAGAGGTATTAAGTTATGTTAATCTGATAATTTACGACAAATTTCATAAAAGAAAAAACTGCAAAATTGATCCAAGAAGCAGTCTTATGTCAATTAAAGCAATTGAAAGAAATAATAGCAATTCAAACAAAACCTTTCAGAAAATAGAAGAAAAGTACATTTCCCAACTCATTTTAACAAACCTATGTTACTCTAACACCAACGTAAAGGCAAGAAAATCTGAATTAGTATTCTTCAGGAATATACACAAAAATTACTAATAATGTATTGGCAAATCTAATCTGAAAAGACACCAAAACATTATATAATTATGAAGAAAAGCCTAGCCCAAGGTGAATCTAACATCTGAAAATCAACTGATACACAATCATTAATGGACTGAAGGAGAAACAGTACTAACCTTTCAATACGGAAAAAGCAACTGACAAAATTCAACACCATTTATGTTAACTCTCAGGAACCAACAATTTTAAAAATTGTGTGCTGGCTAAGAATAAAAAAACATTTCTTAACCTGGTAGCAGGAAGATGTAAAAAAATCCAGACATCTGTGGCATCTGTTTAACCGTTTCCTCCTGAGATTAGATACAAAACAAGAGTTCCTGCTTTCCTGGCTTCTACACAGCGTCTCACAGGCAGGGGAGGGATCGCAGCGTGATGGAGAGAAAGCACGCACAAGTGAAGTAAGGCTGTCCTGATTCCTGACTCGGGACTATGTCTGCTCCAATTTGCTCTTAAGGAGACTTCAGGGGAGGAATGATTCTAAAACCAGAAGATATAGATGATTCATTTCTATCTAGTATTACATTTATAAATGGTATTCCCACTGTTTTTATAGTGGCTTTAGTTTTTTAAACATGAAGGAAACTTCCCATACGGGTCAACCGTCCCAGAACTGGTATCACACTTTTAAAAATTCTGCGGAAATACAGGGCATGGGCATGACTATGTAATATTCTACTGCAAAATCTACAATACTGTATAATCAAATATTAACACCAAATATAATTAAGACAATAGCTTCAAAACTCGAGGTCTAACTTTCATATCAAGTTTAATTTCCTTTCAGCTGGTGGGGGCCCGAGGAACAGCAGGCACACACCAGCACATAATCACCAAACGCAAACCCAAAGCATCACCAGGCTGACACTAAACATCCGAACACTACTCAGTATACCTGTGGCTTATAGCTATGTACTGCTGCCCCTAAGACAAACTTACTACTAAAAAAAAAAACACTTTTTTAAACATTTTTACTTTTAAGTTAGAATTATGTAGTGGAGGAGAGACAAAGAGAGCTCTTCTACCTACTGGTTCACAAGTATGGCTGGACTGGTGCAGAACTGGAAGGCAGAAACTTCTTCCGATGCCCCACATGACCGCAGGGGCCCAAGCACATGGGCCACCGTCCACTGTTCCAAGCATTTAAGCTCCCATAAACACACGGGAGTCCTGAAGAACTCCTGGCTCCCGGATTCCACCTAACCCAGCGCTAGCCATTATAGGTACATGGGGGCGGGGGTGGCAGATGTTTCGCCCTCTCAAACAAATAAAATAAAACATAAAAACAGGAAAAAAACAACAACAGAAGCAGATAATGAAAAATTTAAATAGCTAAAAGGGAACTCTATTCAAAGGCAGACCAGCATCAATCTGTAGTCAAATGTAGCTATACATTAAACCCGAAACTCTGAATTCATTTATCTATAATCGTTAAGGAGAAGACCTTACTATCCCAATTATCATAAATATGAATGCATAGTTTTACATGTATATTGTATATGAGCATTCTGGCAAAGTTAGTAGAATTTGATTCATTTTACTTGCGATAACCACAATTGAATGGATAAGGCTGGCAATTTTAGAAAAAGAAAGAAAAAAGCCTTCTTGACTCATGGTTCTAGGGGAGCAAAGTCAAAGAGCCTCACCTTTCACTGGCCTTCTTGGGCAGAGAGACCCAAAATGGCGCACAACATCACAACTCAACACAGGACAGGGATCTTTGTAAGTCACTCTTCCTGCTCTTACAAAAGCACCAAGTTCAAGCATGGAGGAACTACCTCACATCTAATTCAATCACAATCTGACACACCCCCAGGCTCCACCTCCAAGATCAGAGTCTAATTAAATTTACGCCCTCTTAATGTTTCACAGCAGAGATTAAATTTTACCAAACAGAGTACACACTAAGGCACATGCAAATCATACCGCAAAAGGTGCGCGAGTTTGACTGGCCTGCCTGGATCATTTTTTCTCCAAAAAGTCCTTTCTTGCTCTGGTTCACAGCTATGAAAAGTGGGTTGAGTTTCTATAACAATGCAAGTATATAACCCAACAGTTTCTTAGTAAACTCATAAAGGCTCAGGAGCACAGTTACTATTCCAGAGGCACAGCATTTTTCTGCCCAAGAACTATCACAACGGTTCTTAATAAGCATCAAATTTACTAACCTCCTGTATTCCAAGGCAAAGGTAATAGATGCTGTCGGGTGCATAATTCTCCCCGTTTGGTCGTCGGATTTCATTAACAAAGTGGGCTAACCCATAGTTAAGCTCAGCTGTGGTGTGAGAGAGTAGATCTTCTTTTAATTTGACTGATTTAGCTGAAAAGAAATAAGTCAGCAGTTATTACTATTTATTGTCCAACTAGAAAAATTTCCTGAAATTAATTTCTTCTTTATGTTTCTGAAATTATTTTAAGAGACTAGCAAAAACAAACAAACAAACAAAAAGACAAATCACAGGAAGACTTACACGATGTCAGTTGGTCCAATTCCAGCAGATCTTCATCCAGCTGCCTGGTCTTGACCCAGTGCTTCCACGCATTGACACCGTATGCGTATTTGAAAGGAAAGCTGCACTCGGAATTGTCGGAGCTATCATCATGGGACTGGTATCCTGACACAGCTTTTCTCTTGGTTCCCTATGAATAAAATACCATTATAAAATTATTTTTAAATCTACAATATTTTATGAATTGACCTAACACGTTTCTCAGCCAAGGTAGATCAAAAGGAAATATTTGTTTACAACTGACTTACAGTTGATTATCTATAACATGTTTAATGATTTTATTCCAGGAATGTCATGTGCCTACACAAATCACTTTGTAAAACCCAATCATAGTATAACATCTTGTGAGACCAGCACAATGATGAAAAAAATCATTAAAATACGCTTAACTCAAGGTCCGAAACATTTAGGCCCATGCTTTCTTCTAAGAGTTTCGACATTTAGGTTTATGACAACATTTAGATTTCTTTTTTAAAAGATTTATTCTTATTGCAAAGGGAGATTTACAGCAAGGAGAGACAGACGCATCTAACGTCCACTGGCTCACTCCCTAAGAAGCCACAATCCCCAAAGCTGAGCTGTTCCAAGCCAAGAGCCAGGGGCTTCTTCCAGGTCCATGCAGGTACAGGGTCCCAAGGCTTTGGGGTCATCTTCTGCTTTTTCCCCAGGCCACAAGCAGACAGCTGGATGGAAACTGGAGCAGCCGGGATATAAACCGGGATCCATATGGCATCTTGGTGCATGCAAGGCGAGGACTTTATCCACCAGGCCACCCCGCCAGACCCAACATTTTAATTTTTTTTATGATGTCAAGTAAGAATCTACCTTCCTTAGATGGCAGACACTCCTTTTCCATTTTTTCTTTCCTGATGGCTTAAGTTGTGGAAGCTCTTTTATTAAGATGTCTTTTGATATTGCTTCACATGTTGGAACTCAGAAACACAGAATACACTTGACAGAGTACCTCACCAACTGTATCTGTTAACATATTTCACTTTTAGATCTACCTGATGATCCAAGTGTCCTGGGCATCTTTTAATGTACTTGACAGGCTTAAAAGAAATCACACGTACTGGTGATGTGGTGGTGTGGGTAAAGCCATGGCCCACAATGCCAGCATCCAATTTCGGCATCAGGTTAGAGGGTTCTTCACTTCCGACTCGGATGACTGCCGACGGGCTTGGAGGGCAGTGGAGGGTGGCCTGCATCTGGCTCATTTTTGGTCTTGCCGGGATTTGGCAAGTGAACCAACGGATGGAAAAAACCCTATATTTATATATCCTGCTGCCTTTCAAGTAAAATACATAAATCTTAAAAAAAAAAAAAAAAAAGCTAGTAGAAAAAAAAGATATTCTCTTGACAGAAGAGGAATAGCACCCACCAAAGGCAGATGCGAAGAACATCCAGTAAAGTAGTAACAGAAGACCAAATCGATCAACAACCCGTTGCTAAAATGACAGGACCAAATTACCATTCATATTAACCTGAATGTAAATGGCTAAACTCATCAATTAAACATCAAAGATTAGAAGACTAGATTTTAAAAAAAAACAAAGAAACAAATCTATCTGTTGCCTACAGGAGACATATCTCACCAAGAAGATCAGCAGAAACTATATCTCATGGATTTTTTTTTTTTTTAGTTTCATCTCTTCAAAACACTTTCTTTCTCATTAAATTCTTCACAGATTCATAGCTCATACAGGAGCATCATTTTCTGCAAGAAGGTTCTTGATCTTCTTTTCCCTTTCTTCAGCGACACATTAGTCATTGAGTAGCATGGTATTAACTTCATGGTGCTTTTCATTTCTCTTTTTTTTCTTCCTGTTGTTGATCATGTTTCATGGGTTTTCATTTAAGGGGATGTAAAGTAACTATGTCATGGAGACTAACATATCCAGATGTGAGGATACATTGCAGTGTGCACCTTTACTTCCAGATCAAAGATGGACTTCCGGGGAAACAGTTACCTATATCTTGACAACAGGATGCTGGACTCTGTGCCATTGTCCGTGCCCGCAATGATGGACATATAAAAGTTTATGAAGAACTATATACTACAGTAATGACATAGGGGAATTAAGTTCGGGGCAGATGGGAGTTGGGGATCAGTAACAGTAATCCCAGGGCCGATGGAACTGTACCATTAAATGATAATAACAATAATAATAAAAGAAAATAGCCTCAATTCCTATAAAAGGAATTTCCTTTCCTAGCAACTGTTTTTATATCTCTATCAAGACAATGAATAAAGAAAACTAAATGATAATAATACTCACTTTTTGATGATATAACAACTAAATTTGAGACATTAATTAAAAACAAATTACCACTTAAAATCCTTTAATATCTAGGAAAAAAACTCTCTACCAAAATCTTTGGGCAACAAAAGATCATTGTGTTCGTGCATAGAAAATGTACTGTTCAACATAGTATAAAGTGAACGCAAGACTACTACTAACTTTTTTACCTTCTTTTTAGTCCGTGGCCTCGGCTGTTCCTCATATTCTTCTCCAAAAACAGGTGGCAACAAAAATTCATTTTCCATATCAAGCTCCTCAGCAGCTGATAAATGAGTCAAACAAACAAAGAAAGAAAACCTGTTATTTCAAATGCAACAGCACAAGGACGCTTACAGAAACAGCCAACAAAGAACTAACAGGTGAGCAGCCCTTGCACCCGGGGAGAGCGGGGACTGGGCTCTGCAGGAATGACTCGCTGCCATGACCTGACCTGTGAGGTCTGAACAACCTTTGCCTGAACTCCTGAAAAAAGGATCTTCACGGAAACATGTGCTATCAGAAAATGTATGATAAATGCAAAAAGATCTATACGGTTTCCATGCAAATCTGAATTACTCTATTACATTCTTTTCTAAAAATATTTTATTCAATGAGTAATTAATCATCAGGATTAATCAATTAGAAACAATAACATACAAGAACTGAAAATAATATAATTACTGAAAATAACCATTTTTCTTTGAGGGTAAAAGTTAATTTTCAAAAGGTCTTAAACTCAAGTTTGTTCCTCAATCTTGAGATTTTTTTCCATAAATAAGATTAGATACTCCCAAGATTAAGAGTAACTAAGATTAGTTACTCCTCACGAAGGTACTGAAGTTTGCTCTGCACACCCCTCTTAAAACCGTTCTACACCTCAACTGTTAACATATGCCCTGTTAGAGTTACAAACCAGTTTGGACTAACCTAATACTATACGCTGCTAAATATAAAAACGAAAATACAAACGAGACAGCTGAATAGTACCCTATAGCCATTTTAAGGTGGATAGAAGCCGGTTGTATATAAACTAAAATTGAAATGTCAATGAAGTAGTCACAGGATGTGGATAAGACTTGCATTTTCTAACATATCGGTCACTCAATACCATGGCAACTAACTCCATAGTGTTGTCAATTGCTGTGGACGGTTTCTTGTGGCTTTTCATTGGATGGGATGACATTCTGCCAGCTCTGCTTTCAGATCAGAGATGGTGTCCCCAAGAAACTGTTAAATTTATCTGGAAAATAAGATGCTGGACTCTATGCATGGTACATGCTTGCAATGAAGGAATCATGACTGGATTTGAACTGTAATACTGCAACAAGATGGAGTAATCCACCATGGGCGGGGGCATGGTGAGGGGTTGAATCCCAGAGCCTATGAAATTGTCATTAAATGAAAGAAACGAAATTTTAAAAAAAATCTTTTCTTTTTTTAAGATCTATTTATTTTTATTGGAAAGGTAGATTTATAGAGAGAATGAGACAAACAGAAAGATCCTCCATCTGTTAGTTCACTCCCCAAATGGTGGCAACAGCGGGAATTGAGCTGATCCAAAGCCAGGAGCTGGGCACTTCGTCAGGGTCTCCCACGTGGGTGCAGGGTCCCAAGGATTTGGGCCATCCTCAACTGGTTGCCCAGGTCACAAACAGAGAGCTGGAAGAGAAATGGAGCAGCGGGCCATGGACTGGTGACCATGTGGGATCCCGGCACGGACAAAGAGAGGACTTTAGCCAGTCACCATTACACTGACCCCAATACATTACTTTCAGAAGTTTTACTCGGAGCAGCATTGTGGTGCAGTTGGTGAGGCTGATGCCTGCCCCCAAGCAGAACATTAATTTAAATCTTGAGTACCCTCCTTCCAATGCAACTCCCTTCTACTCATTTGGAAAATCAGGGGGAGCAGGCCCACGTGCTCTGTTACCCACATGAGGGAGCCAGAGTCTCCTGGCTTCAGCAGGGCCCTGCCTCAGCTGCTAAGAGAACTAAAGATCTCTTATCTCTTACCTATCATTCTGCCTTTGAAATACAGTAACTCTTCATTTCTTTTTTAAAATCCCTAAGATGTTATTTTAAAGCCCTATGTTCCAAACCTGTGCCTTATAGCAGAAGCTGCAACATTTTACTTGGATAAGAAAAAATAAACATGTACACCATAAACACAAATATCAAATAGGTACCAATTATAAAATTACACTTAGACTCTACTAGTAAATCCCCAAACCATAAAGTAGTGCTTTGATTACCTCTGGGAAAATCTATTTCAATATCCAAATCTGGTTCATACGGTACATCAGGCATATTGGACTGTGTCTCTGAGTCAGAATTCTTCAAGATATCTGAAGCAATTATATCGGTTTCAATAATTACACCTATGAACAATTCACAATATTATTAGAAATCAAAATATAAAAGCCCAAAAGTAGCTGGCCAAAAGAAGTCACTTAGGTGTAAACACAGTAAGACTCAAAACAACATCACAAAAACAAAGCTATATAGGGAGCGAGCATTTAGAGGCAGTGGATTCAGCATAAACTAGTCATGCCAGCATCCGACATCAAGGCACTGATTCATGTCTTGCATATTCCACTTCCCATCCAGCTCTCTAATGTGCATATAAAAGCAGTGACAGATGGCCCAGGGACTTGGGCCCCTCCCATCCACATGGGAAACCTTGATGGAGTTCCAAGCTCCTCTCTTCAGCTTGGCCAGAAGAGCTTTTGTAAGCATTTGGGGAGTGAATCGGTGGAAGAAAGATCTCTTTGGTTCTGTCACTCTGTCTTTCAAATAAATTAACCTCTAAATAAACATATATATAAAAAGGTATATAATATCTTAAAATGTAAATTATTGTGATTTTCATAAGTTAGGTAATTTAAACTATCTAAAACTTCGAAGGCAAAAAAAAAATTACAAAACAAAAATAAAAACAATAAAACACACACACCAAAACAAAAAAAAAAAGGAAAGAAAACTCCCTTTCAATCCTGGAAATGTTGACAGTCCCCCTTCAGAATAGGTATGCTGCAATAACAAAACAATTGAAAATGTATTTTTAAAAGCAGCCTTTTCTAAGAAATAAAGATGGCAGATCATTTCAATTTTCTTTCTGAATTCTGATATAGGTTTCCTGTATTATTTAATATATATTTATCTACAAGTGCCTTTTCATGATTTGATGACTTTTTTTTAAAGGTTTGCTTATTTTTATTGGAAAGGCAGATTTACAGAGAGCAGAATAAGCAGAGATCTTCCATCCACTGGTTCACTCCCCAAGTGGCCATAACGGCTGGAGCTGAGCCCATGTGAAGCCAGGAGCCAGGTTCTTTTATGGTCCTGCACGCAGGTGCAGGGTCCCAAGGCTTTTGGCCGTCCTTTGCTCTGCAAGGCCATAAGCAGGGAAGTGGACCAGCTCAGACAGCAATCGGTGCACATTCAAGGCGAGGATTTAAGCCCGGGGCCATTACAGCAAGCCCATGGTGACTTAAACTTATCTGTAACCACAACACAAATTGGACTTTATCCAATAAATATTCTAAAGGGTGATGGTAGGAGATAGAAAAATAAATTATATGCAACACCCCAAAAACAACATTTATTTTTCCTAGGATAGATCCACAGTGAATTTTTTCCTGTTCCCCTTTCATAAAAAACACTGGTTATAACCCACCAAATTCATTTTATAGCTCCTTAACACAATGTTTTAAAAACAGTGCCGCACTATTAAATAGAATAAAATCACATGTTGAGATTGCCATTAGGCATCTCAGGGTGCAGACAGACCTTGGGGGTATCACCAGAGGACTAAGGGTAGGAATTAATAACCCGAGACATTTAGAATTACCAATAAACACTCAGGTACAACTGCGAACTACCACAACAGGTCAAGACACACCCTGGTTATCTGGTTAAGATAAATGCAAATGACCAATGGAACCAACCACACAACACTACAGATAAGGATCACACAAATAATGCTGGGCGCATTATTAAATGCACTACAAGTTAATTTTCAAGAATAATATTGAGTTTAGGTTTTCAAGCAAACCATGTTAAAATAAAACAGAAACCATACAAATTCACTCCTTGATGACTGGATATGGCATTATTGGTACAGCATCGGACTAGACACAACAGGGATCTCTTGATGTAAAATACATTCTTGTCATTGTGCTGTGTCTTAGTTCACTACCAAGTCGAAGTGCACTGAATGCCTTAGAAAGTCCTCCAGCCACCAACCCCCTGTCAAGAATCAAGCAGCTCACTGTTGATGCTGGCAGCCTCCGGCTTGCCCTCATCCTCTGCGATGATATCCGTCATTGTAAGCAACCCTGTATCAAGAGGATCTGAAGAAACTTTGCTTTTCAGCTCCTCGATTGCTGCAGGGATCTTCTCACTGCTATCCAATGGCGCAGGCAGAAAAACAGGAACAGGTACCTAATTAAAGCAATTTAGTGTTAGCTTTACTCAGCATTAGAACTACTTTTGCAAACTGTTACTCTAATGTATGATCCACTATATTAAGTGCTAACAACTTTTGAGAAGAGCAGATATCAAAACTAAGATGTCAGGGCAGAGCTCCAGTGCAGCAGTGCAAACACAGCTCAGCAGGAGCTCAGCCCCTGGCCCGCCCCTGACCCGGCGGTGCACACCCTGGGAGCAGGTGACGCCCCGGCATCTTGGGCTCTCGCATACGTCTCTCTGCCTTCCAATGAACAACCCCAAGATGTTAACCTTTTGTTAAAAAAAGGAGGAGAAAGGAATTCTCGAGATATTTCACTCCCAGAGACCTACAACAGCTGCCTTCTGACAGTGTTCTAAATATGTGATTGATAATAAAATAATATTGTGTGTCCTAGTATATGAAATATTATTCTCTAAAAACGTCATGTGAAATGTTATGGTTTCACAGCAATTTTGAAAATGAACGCGAACATAAAGCACAAAGATGTACACAGTAAATGCAGACATCTGCTAAACTTTTTCTCAAAAGCAAATATATACAAAATTAAACACAAAGCAACCAGGATCGCAAAGTGTCAATTACATCCAGTTGTTGAAGGCCAAAACCAAGTTTAAAAATCATTCAGGTAATAATCATCCCAACTACATAAACAGTCTTCCCACGGGTGCCCGATAAGCCTCAGAACGAGGAAGCGCTCGAGATGTGACTCACAGGAACAGGGACTGTAGTGGGCACGGGGATGCTCTGGCTGTACATGTGCATCGGCACGGGGATGTAGACGGGCACGGGGATGGGCACCGGGACGTACTCTGTCTTCCAGCTGTCATCTAACAACACAACACACGTGTGTAAGGAACACCATTAAACCGCATCGACTGTGTATGTTCAATGTTAAAACAATTGCATAACCGTGAACAATTAAGAGAAATGACAAAGTTTTTCAAAATTAAGAAGTTTTAAACAACAGAAAGCAGCAGTTCTTATACAATACAGGCTTTGCTTTAAAAAGAAGCAACATTCTTCACAACACCACGAAGCCCAGCAGTCCCTATCCCCGATGCTCCTCAGCCCACAAAGATGTATTTAGTCAAACTAAACTACAGTTAACAATGTGAAGTTAATGAAATGCATATCTAAATTGCTTCATCTCATTCTGACAAGAGGGAAATGTCACCGCTACTGCCGCTCACACCGAAAGACACGCTACACCACATGAGATGCTGCAATTACTCCCAGGGACGCTGCTGTTTGGGATTTTTTTCACTTCTGACATAATTTGTATTCTAGGCCTTTATTAGACATTGATCACAAATTGTTTTAAATTATATTCTTAGCAAAATGACCAAAGAAATTGATTCCGTATCCCTATCAGGAAAAGCATGTTCATTTGATTAAATGAGGCAAAAGTCAAATTTGATTCAGTTACCTGTCTGACAAGATTTGGTCTGCATGTGAGGTTTACAGTAAGTAGCTTTTGTCATTGTCAAAGGTTTGCAAAGAACCGCTTTGTTCTTCATCTCTTTATTAGGTGTTGGAGACGGGGGTGGTGCTGAGCCCTACAGAGAAGCAGAGAGAAAAGCTTTTACTTTTTATTTTTATGAATTTCAGGTGCTAATGACTACCTAGCTTCTTAAGTGCTAAGGAAGAAACACACCCAAGGGGAGGACACAATCGGAGCATGCCTCAGCACTGCGCTTAGCACGCTCTCACGCGGGCAGCATCACTCTGAATCTACACGGACATTGTGTGATTTGAAAATCACAAAATGAAAACTGCAAATGCAACCGGGAAAAAAAAAAAAAGCAGGGTCTTTTAAATTTCTTTTGGAAAGAAAAACTCTTGCCTATATTATGATGGATTCTCTAGCTCCCTCTCTCGGAACAAGACATAAAATAATAAAGAGTTACAGAAGTATTAGCAAACTTTAAGTTGCAAATTTCCTGTGACTCAGCAATTCTAGTCCTACAGAGTTTCTCAAACATTTTTACACAAGGTTCCTGGGAATGTCCTTTGCATTCTAAGCAGAACAAAACAAAACCCTGTAATAGAACAATCTGCAGCTGAAGATCTGTCCAGAGACTGGAGGTAAGGTACTCTGCACGTGAGCTCGGAGTTGCTGCCCAGCATTCGAGGTAGTCCTGCTCTGTACACTCGCTTAGAGCATCCTGAACCACTGCTGTAAGACTGCAGAGTTCCTTAGCGAGCTCCCTTGTGAACCTTTGGTCAAATTCTCACCAACTGATACACACACACAACTGTTTCTTCCATATTTCCATATTTCTTACTTCCATATTTCTTCCAAATAATATTAAATATATACTATTTCTTACATGCTAGTAAACTAACAAGTGAAAGCATCTTCCTTTTTTTTAAAGATTTATTTACTTTTATCAGAAAGGCAGATTTACAGAGAGAAGGAGAAACAAGAAAGAAAGCTCGTCCATCTGCTGGTCCACTAACAAGCAGACACAAAAGCAGACCCAAAGCCAGGCGCTGGGAGTTTGTTCCAGGTCTTCCATGAAGGTGCAGAATTTCCTAGGCTTTGGCTCATTCATTACTGCTTCCCTAGGCCACAGGCACGGAGCCGAAAGGGAAGTGGGGCAGCCGGGACAAAATCAGGGCCCAAATGGGATCCTGGCGCATGTCAGGAAAGGACTAAGCCACTGAGCCATCGTGCCAACCTCCCACCTTCCCACTTCAGGATACTTTCACTTTTCTGCTACTGCACAGGCAAGATGTACAGTTAGTTCTGCTCAACACTGAAGAAGAAGCCAAAATAATAAAAATTAGACTTAAAAGTCCCCACCAATTGAAGTACTACGCAAATCAGTGGTACACCCTATCCACGTCACTGTATTATCTACTTCTGGTTACAGCGTAGATTATCTCCACAACTTTGCAAAAATCAAGCATCTCTCAGTTTAGACTCAGGCCTTAGACGCAATCTTCTTACCAAAATAAATAAATAAATAAATAAATAAATAAATAACAAGCCCAGAGGCTTTCTGTGTTGCCAGAAAGTGATTCTTGACACACTTCCTTTGGCTAAGACAATTGAGAAAGCAATATTAAAGCACAGGGGTGCATGCGTAGGCATGCAAAGAGCAGGCAGTGCTTCGCTGCTTTGTAAAACGCAACCAAAGCCATCTCTCCATTGCCACTTTCCAACACAGAACTCAAAATGCAAACATAAAAGCAGAATGTACTCTTCTAAAGATTAAATAAAGGAAAAAAATTTACACAATTCCCAAATTTTAAAACTTATGAATTCTAGCTACTAGATATTCAGTTATATATGAAAAATAAATGTATAGATTAACAACCTGGCCCAACCTAATTCAGCCTCAGTTCCAATTACTTTGACAATGGTTTCTTTTGAAGTGGTTCATCTCATTCACATTATTCCTACTGTCAAAATGATGCATCTACAAGGGAATTTCAATCCAAAAACTCCATGTCTCTGTCCCATATGAATAGAGGCTATAACTAATTTATTTCCTCTAGCATGCATGAAAGACTCTGAGTACTTTCACTTCCAAAACAAAGTAAACATTTTTTACTATTATAATAATTGGACTAATAATTTTTTGTTAACACATTACCAAAAAAAAACCCCATAATTTAGCAACTGCGCTTCAATTAAGCAATACTTACTGTCATTTTGGTTCGAGACGTCTGACAACCCTGATCTAAAAAACAAATTTAAAATAAGACAAATATCACTTTCTTTAGAATTTTTTATATCTTTATTATTTTAATTTTGCTGCTTTCCAACAAACATTACTGAGGAAAACAAATTACTTGAGGTAAAGAAAAATCTTAAATTACAATTAGAAAGTGTGAAAACACACACCTAAATAAGTAGAGTTAACCATTTTCTTCCTTTGTATCTTCTTATACTTCTTAAACTAAAAGTTACAGTTTTTCAGGGCTTCTGTTGTTCCTCCCAATGACTGCCAATGCGTACAACCTGCTAGCAATGGTTTTCAAGCACAGTGACAGGTAGCTGGTAGCTGCAGATACAGGCTGATGACCGCTCTACACCCACTGGGTCATATTTCTTATTCTTTTCAATAAGTATTTAATTTGTAAAAGGAAGCAAAACTAAAAGCAATGCGCTTATAAAATTATCATATATGGCAGTTAACCCAGAGAAACTAAGGAAGGATCTGCTATTAAAAAACTCCAAAATCAACTACACAATGCACACTTTGGATTTAAAACTAAGGAAATAAAGACATTACAGGTTTGCAAATGAGCACCTAAATTATTACATACCGTAATGTAAATTTTCAGGTCCTTTCTGAGTTGTCATGTTAGGCTCATTCTGCTGACAGTAGAAACGCAACAAGCAGTGCTGGTCGCAGAAATGTTTCATTTCCCCGCGCCACTGCACTCGCTCCTTCAGGGTTCCTTGGGATTTGCAACAATCGCACCTTGCAGCCTTAAAAAGAGAAACCAAAAACGCACATATGAGAAGCGTCAAAGTATAACATATGCATTATGATTTCTAAGAGCATATTTGTGGGGCATCGTGCTGAAGCTTTGATGCCAGGGTCCTACAGAGCACCAGTTCTTGGTCCCTGCTGCTCTGCTTCGATCCAGAACCCTGCTGAAGTCCCTGGGAAAGTAGCAGAGCGGCCGAGGTGCTGGGATCTCTACCACACGTGGGACACCCGGACGAAGTCCCAGGCTCCTGGAGTTGGCACAGCACAGTCCTGGCCACTGCGGCCATGTGGGAAGCAAGCCAGCAGACAGAGCACACCTCTCTTCCCTCTCCCTGCCCTGTTGAACTACCTTTCTAATAAAAAAATACATTTCAAAAAGCTTATCTGGAATTTAGCCTCAGATACTGTGAAATGCAATAAATAAGTCTGATGAAGAGAAAATAAAATTACAAAATCAAGCAGACCAATCTAAAATAAATGAGGAGAGGTTAGAGGAATGAAGCAATTTACTTATTAGCCAAAGTTCCATTCTATACTTACCGGAAATCAAAGATGAGCATTATTAAGACAGCATAACTTAAACAACATTCACATATCAAGACAATACCACATATTTCAATGTTTCAGGTTAGCTTATACAATAAGCCAACTCTGACAGAAGCTGTTAGGATGGGATATTTTTAGATGTTCACTTAAAGTTTTAGCTATTCAGAAGCTTTAAGATAAAATATAGAATTAACTCTAAATAAATATATTTTGCCTTGGTTTTACAATAAGAACTTCAAAAGTTCTAAGAAAGCAGTGATTGCGTCAAGAAAACCAATTTGAAAAACAGAAACATTTGACACAAATTTGGGGAAACTATCAGCCCTAACTGACAGAATATAACACAAGCAAAACCCAAAAACAAAACACACTGAAATTCACATTACATTTGCAAATCCCATTTCCCTTAGGTTTTGTTCATGTCTTCTTGCCTAATATCTTGATCAATAAATAGAACATAACAAGTGACCAATTTTAAATCTTAAGCTTTTAGAGAAAATTCCTGCTAACGTACCTGCCGCCTTTGAAAATTTCAGATAAAGCAATAAATCTGAAGCACTTTGCAAAGTACAATAATTGTGGATATGATTTCTCTTTATCACCCTGAGTACTCTAGATTTTCATACTGTAGAAATCTCACTTTATGTCCTGGACAGGATTCTATGAATAAGTATCACATTAAAATTCCTTATTAAGGGACACCAGCAGATATTTGTTTTGGTAAACAGGTCTTATATCACAAACATACCAAAAAGTTAGAACAGATTTTTTTCCCTTCCAGCTCCGGTAAGACTCCTGTTGATAAATGTTAAATGAAGATATATAGTATAAGTTAAGACTATAACCAATTCCAATATCACATCTCTTGTCCAAAACCTTGTAAGTACAAATATTACATTGCTGATCACACTATATGGTGAGCTCAGTAACATTAGCACTTAACAGTTAACAAAAGTCACATTTTGCTCAATAATAAAAAACCCTATGTAAATTTGATACCAGCGAACAACTGTTCCAGAAATAACCATAATAAAAATGTGCCGTGTTCCAATTCTTTTTCCTTTTTTATAACTTACAACAAAAAAGACAAAGCACAAATAATAAAAAAGAATGGAACTGAGAATGACAGTCACCTGTTTGCACACAGGAAGACAGAGTTGGACCCTTACAACTACCTCAGAGAACTGAAACAGAAGCCCAAAGTTCTATGTCACCTGCCAATAATCTTCACATCAGTTCTTTAAAACCAAGGACCAAAGAGCAAGTATTTTGACAAATGTCATGTGTTAAAAATGAGATAGGATACAAAGCAGGTAACTCTAGTCTAACCCAGAGCGAGAGGCTAGTTTAGCACAGGAGCTAAACTGCTGCTTGGGACCACATCTCATCCTGAAGGGCCTCCTCACTCCTGACACCAACTTCCTGCTTAATGCACAGCCTCAACCACAAGAGGCAGTCTCTGCAATCCACAGGGGGACTAGGACTGAGGGACTGGCTCATGGCTTCTGGCTTCTGGCTTCTGGCTTTAGCGCGGTCCAGCACTGGCTGTGGTGGGCAGCTGCGCAGTACACCAGTGTCTGCCTCACTTCAACCCCATGCCTTCTAATAACAAAAACAAAATCTGAGGTTTGTGCTGTACTCTAACTTGTAAAGAAAATGGAAAGATAAAACAAATTAACCAGAAAATGAGAAAATTTTAAAAACCAAATCAAAATAAAATGCTGGCTCTCAATTTATTATAAAAAAACAAATATATAACAAATCATTCCATGACTTTCAGTAACATTTAAAGAATAAGGGTATGCTAAACATGTCACAAAAAGAATCTAAACAAATCATCTCATAATTCTGTAATTATTGAACTTGGTATTTGCAGAAACAATACCTGAAGCTCCTTTCTTCCAGAATGTTAAATGAAGATAATGTTAAATGTTAAATTAAGAAATTTAGGTGATTTCTCTTTATCCAAAGAAAGAGGGGCAAGATTAATGCCAATTTACAAATGGAAACCAAAATGTTCAGGCTGAAATGGAGAGTGAGAATACTAATAAATGAAAGCTGAAATCCATATTCAAAATTTTGGAAAGGCCTGGGAAATCAGTCAGGGACGGCCCAAAGCCTTGGGTCCCTGCATCCGTGTGGGAGACCCAGAAGCTCCTGGCTCCTGATCAGCTCAGCTCTGGCTACTGTAGTCATTTGGAAAGTTAACCAGGAAATGGAAGATATTTCTGTCCCTCCTTCTCTCTGTAAATCTGCATTAAAAACAAAACAAAACAAAACAAACAAAAAAAAAACCCCACAAACCCACAAACTTACCTCTACATTAAGGGATATTGTAATATATAGATGGGAAACTAAATGTTTTCGAAGTATTATTTCCACAATGTTATAAAACATTCTAACATTCCATTATAATACTAAATCCTTTCTCTCAAAAAAATTTTAAACCTATACAAATCAAAAAACTCTCCATCCACGTAGTTTCATATTATTCCTGGAAACTTTTAATTTAAGCAAAAGGAGATCTATTTTCTTCAAAAAAATTATGTGGAAAGAGAAATTAATTTTATTCTCAGCATGTTGTGGAAGCATGTCAAATCTTTTAAATTGGAAGAGGCAATATTTAAACTCTCTACTATGAACTCAGAAGCAAGCTATTACATGAATCAAAATACAGATCATTCAGAATAATCAGTTTAAACAAAAATTTTAAGGCACAATAACAATAAATAAATAAATTGTATATACTCTATAAAGAGTCTGTCCGATTTGCACATAGAAGTTAAAAATGCCATGTAAAGTTAATGCTCATAGTCAAACTTGGCAGTTGAATTGGCTGTTGATTCTTTTAAGATTGATATATGATGTATGTCGTTTTCAGGGGAGCTGACGTTTTTATACTTAATAAAGCGAGACTTAATATGCAAAGGTCAATATTTTAATGGGATAAAATTTCCCATATTTAAAAAGATAAATTGCACAAGAAGTAGAAAATACCAACAAGGACTCAATTTAATTTAGCACGCTGGAGGCAGCGTGACAGTCATGACACACGACAGCAGTCACAAACACGAAGGATTTAATGATGCCAGAAGCACGGAGCAGTGCACGCCACGGCTGCAGCACTGCCAGCACGACCACACTGGAGAGCTGGTCTGAGCCAGCCAGCCTGTCCAGGAAGGCTCAGGGGCGAGACAGACGGAGTGTAGAACTCCAGGTTTTTGTTTTCTGGACCAGCCCCATTAGCGCCACCCTTTAAGGAGTGAACCAGTAGATGACAACATGCCTTTTAAATAAATTAATAAATCTTACTCCAAAAGAAAAAAAAAAAAATACAGCAATAAGCATGTGGGATATAACTGCCCTTACACTAATGGCAGGTTACAGAAGATTAGGAAGGGGCCAGTCTTTCAAGTTGTACTGCAAACTACACAGAACAATGGCAATTCCTACCACCTGACAATATCCTCTTATCTTTATCCTTGAGTACAATTATTACCATACTATCATATACACAGTACAATAGGCTATCGTGGATGATATACAATTACTATTTAAAACATTTCAAGAAATGCATAAAGTGTTCAGCGTTTAGCATACGTTGAGCATATTGAGTGTCACTCACTGCTCAACTAATTTACTGTGGTATATTCTAAAAACCCTTGCTTCACTCAATTGTTATTATTGAACACTATAAAAAAAAGCATTGGAAGTAATTATCATTAAGTAAAGGCAACACCATATACACACTCTAACAATGTGTTCTTTCACTACAGAGATTATTTTTGTTTCAAGAACAAACTTTTTTTCAACCTAGCTTAAAGTATTATCAAAAAAGTATTCAAAGAAAAAGCCAAACACAAAGCACAATCCATCAATAAGGTTATCGTAAAATGTTTAAACTGTACATTCACAATAACGCAGGACTAGTCATTATTTAGTAGGACTGCTGTTTCCAACAATAAGAAAAATGACATAAGAAAAACCAACAGTACCAACAATACAGGGGGATTTCTGTATCTGCAATCACCACTTACGGCTTAAACAATGGAAATCAATAGCAAGATAATGAAGCAATTTTTTAAAAAATGAAATGGCAACATTTGAGCCAATGATTATACCTCTTACTATTAAAAAGGAAAATTCTTCTATTTTAGTTAATCCTAGCTAACATGCTGAGTTACAGACATTCAACAATCCACAAAACTCTCCTAACAGTATCATTTTAACGCTAATCACTGAAAGTGAGCTAAACAGTATTCTTCACATTTTTAAACCATTTAATTGCTCCATCTTTTATGGACACCTCAGAGTTTGAATTTTATATTCATGCCTAATTTTACAGCACTGAGATGGTTTCCATGTTACTGACAGAGGAAATAATACCCATTTTGTGGGTAATATTTGACTGCTCAACATACAAATTTATACTTCACTTTTTTTAATCCAGAAACCAACTAATGCAATAAATGAAAAAGAAAATTTATCCTGACTTGAGTATCAACTACAGGGTGTAGCCCCAGCACTACCACAAGAATGTGGAGAAATCAAACAGCAGATGGAGCTCGCTCACTCTCAAATACTTTTCATACATTTATATTTTGAAAGTCAAAATTCAGAAAGAATCAATCTTCCATTCAATTAACAGAGCAAGCTGAAGCCAGTGACTTCCTCCAGGTCTCCCACATGGGTGAACACATCTGACATGGCTTCTGACAAGAAGCAAGGAGCTGGATGAGAAGAGGAATAGCTGGGACACACACTGCTGCCCTATGCCTTACTCGTATGTGTTACTACGCGTTGCTCACGATATGCAGCCCCAGATATTTGTGTGTGTGTTTTCCTTAAGATCTATTTATTTATTTGAAAGGATGCACTGCAGAAAAGGGGGGAGAGACAGATATCTTCCATCCACTGGTCCATTTCTCTAAATGGCCACAATGGCTGAAGCTGAGCCGATCAGGAACTTCTGCCGGGTCTCCCGTGTGGGTATGTGGATCCAAGGACTCGGGCCATCCTCTGCTGCTTTTCCAGGCCATGAGCAGAGAGCTGCATCAGAACTGAAGCACCCAGCATCAACATGGGATGCTGACACTGCAAGATGCAGCCAAACCAGCCACACAACCTATGCCTCACCAATAAATCATTTTTACTGAGATTAAGACACATTAAATTTAAGAGAAAAGTTCCATGCACTTGAACTAAGGATACATGTGTCTCCTAATTGTTAGTAACGCCATCTTTAAAAAAAAAAAAAACAGGCAAAAAAAAAAATCTACCTTAAGCTGTAAATAATGAACTGAAAAGATAATTTTGAGAAATAGTATAATTGGGGACAAGCCTAAAACGTCATACATTTTACAAATACATGAGTAAGCAACAAAGTTTTATTTGGAAGACGAGTTAGGTGGCTGCACAGTAAAGGCGTCGTGACTTGCCTTGTAGTACCAATCCTGAAACTTGCGGCAGCACTCCTCCCCGCAGAAGTCTCTTACCACCCCGTCCAGCTCTTTCGTGGCGCCCTTCTTACACAGCTGCGAACAGTAGTTGCAGGTAACACATCTCAGTCCTAAGCGGCGTGCAAAGTCCTGCTTGTACAATAGTTTGCAGCCTGAAAACATTTAAAATATTAAAAATATTAAAATATTAAAAAATATTCACAACTTAACTTTTTCTTCTTTTTTTTTAATTAATTTTTTTTTCGTTATATTTTGACAATCTTTACCTAGTTAATTAGGGTAAAAAGGTTCAAGGGCTACAGGAAAGTGGGTAAGACTAGTATTTTTTCCATATTGTTTCCTTCATGTTTAAAGGGGGGTATTAAGAGGGAAGGCCCACCCAATTTCCCACCCTCCCCAGGTCCCAGATGTAGGGCATGCTCTGAGGTTCTTGTTCAAGTGGTTTTGATATTTCAACAGTTATGAATTGCTGCCAGTCTTGCCACTCCAAGCACTATGAGGTCCTTTAAGACATAACTTAACTTTTGACCTGTGGTCAAGTTGACTATTGGCTTTATTTTTGGGAAGCATTCTGCATATTTAAATAAAGGCCCCTTTGCTCCCTGAACAAACCTGTAAACTCTAATGTGATCAACCTCAATCTGTACAAATTGGAACAGAAACGGAATATTAGGTATTTTCTAGCATTTTCTAGTATTTTCTCGTTTTAAATAATCTTCAGGACGTTAAAACCCATAAAAGACTTATCACTTTTATTTCACGGTTAGTAAAATCTTGCTCAAATTATAAGCACATCACAGATACTTCTAAGTCAATTTGTAGAAATGTGTATTTATGGAAAAATGTTAAATTTTTCTACTCACAAACTAGGTGCATTATTTTAAAAATCAGAATGCATTCACTTATTTCTGAAATATGAAATGCTGCTCCCGGCCTTTGCTAATCTTAAGTCACAGGTAGAATGACAGTAGACTTTTACAATCTACTACAGTTCTACCCATCTTTGTAGCAAAGAGCTCCAAGTACAGCTCCAACAGAAACAGTGCGCCTACCTTATACTGTGAAGCATTCCGAAAGATTTATATTGGTTGCTCGATATAACCAAGTTTTGATAATATTATTTTTAATAATTTATTTTTCTGTTGGGTCCTACTAGAAAACTAGGCAAGACAAAGCAAAAACAATATTATTCTATCTATCTAAACTTTTCAAGTCTGACCTGTTCAAAGTTACATTCTGAAATGAATACTGTCTACCCACTTTTGTAAAATCGATGTATAACAATGTACTATAAACATCAGACCACTTATATATCGCTTAGTGACACTGACATCAATTAATTTAACAACTGTTGGGGTCCGTGCAGTGGATGTGGGGGGACGTGAAGGTGTGAAGAGTATTGTTCCACTGCAGGCAGGGCCCCGCAGATGTCTCTACAACCACCTGAACGCAGCTCCACCTTCCTTTGCATGGACACCAGACCACCCTGTGGAAGAACTCTAATCCATCCAGGCATTGTTTGCTACTGTGGAGTTGGCTGTTTTACTCAATGTAAGCTTGGAGGTTAATGTCAATAATGATGTCTTGCAAAAGTGCCTTCTATTATTCCTACCGTCTTGGCTGTCCCCATTGACCTTATGCTAATCAAGGTACCTATATTTAGACTTTCATTCTTTCCTTGATCTTTTCATTGTGATACAAAATTAAGTTGTAGAATAAAAATTGTAGTAGGAACTCCTATTGTTTTTAGGTAAAACAAATGGCAGAATTATCCTTAGAAATACCCACTTGACCATGATATAAAAAGTCTGAGCCAGAGTTTGACTGTTTCTGTATAAATAAAGCAGACAGCTTTTGTGCATTGTCCATTATGATCATGAAATTGTAGTGTCCATTTCTTCCCTCTTTAGGCCTCATCCACGAACTCAGCTGGAGCTGGACTCGGGCAAGGAACAATCAGTATGTTCATACAAATGACTTGAAATTTTACAGAATGTATAATGAAACAGGATACATGACTATAATCTAAACTATACAAATCACTGATCAGTATGTAAATAATATCAATATGTTCAGGCTTATGGATCATTATGACTGTCTTCACACCATCTTTCTTTCAATGAGACCTTTTCAATATTTGTCACTGTCTACTATTCAGCTCTTAAATAAATGTGATTATCCTGCATTCCAGGTGATAAACACCACATAAACCCAGACAGGAGGCATTCTTTAACACCACACAGAGAGCTTTTTATCACACGAGGAATGTACAAATGAAGGAAACCACTAAATGGACTGTAAAGCCTCTTGGTTTTGCTACCATTCCCTACAACCCTTGGCATTTAGGATTTCTCTTACCCCAAACTAGCACTGGAATTCTACAAAAAAGTAGATCCAAAGAAAAGTTTTAAATTCTCACTGCAAAGTAACAGGTGGTGACGGCAGCGAAGAAAGCACGTAGAAGGTCAGTGACCATGGCAAAGAAAGAACAGAATGTGAGAAGCAGCTTAAAATGTACATGGCACTTAGGGAAGAGCCATCATAAAGCCCAAAGCCCAGCGATGGCACTGGATCCTATCACTGGAGTGCCCTTCTATAATCTATGACCTGGCATCAGAGCAGCAGAAAGTAGAGATAAGAGGTAAGAGAGTTCCTGAATGTCTCTCTAGAATCCCAAACTGAAATCCTAAAAGCATTTTCCCAGTGTAGTGCTATCACAGCTTATTTGCTTTCTAATATACACTGAGAATCCCTACTTGAAACACTTGGGACAAAAAAAAAAATTTCAAATTCCAGGGTTTCTGTTTTCTTTAAGTTTTGGAATATTTGCATTGATTTCACCAACTGAACATCTCTAAAGATCATGAAACTCCAAATCCAGAACTTTCTGATGATAATTTCAGCAGCCAGAAAGTTTACACTTTAAGGTTTTACCATTAGAATGCTCAACTTACATAATGAAAACCTCTGCAGGCTAGGCAGAGCACTGAGCTGGGAAATGGACCTAACAAGATGCCAATCTCATCTTCTCATAAAAGCAAAACCAACTTTCATAGTAAGCCTGGAGATGACACAGTATAACAATGTTTTTATTTAATTCTCAAAAAAATCTTTTAAATGGGAGAAAAGAAGTAGCCAAATTTTAAGACATAAACATTGTAGAGCCCAGCAGAAATGTAAAGTTAGTTTCTTGGTTCCGTTATATTGAAGTTGGCAGCTACTCAGGACATACGTAGAAAAGGTATTTTAGACATTATTAAGTCTCGGTAAGTTATTAGTGACACTTTGAACACACTTGCCTTCACTACAGAAAGGTCTCTTAACGCCAGAGAAATTGACTGTTTCATGAAGAGTCTTCTCCTCTTGACAGTATTCGCAATACGTTACTATGCAATGCAACTTCTTGTAGTCATCTGAACAAGTTTTGCTGCAGAACTGATGCACTTTGTTCTAGACGCACAATGGGAACCTTGGTAAGTATGACAACCACCTCAAGAACAGTTAAGAAATAAACAAGCCACTTTTCTAAAAACAAAGGTTACATCATTTACGTACTTAACGCTATGATCTGTGGAATTTACCTCCTATGGCACAAGTTCCCTGCTAAATGCAAACAACTACAAAATTCAACACCATTAACTACCCTGATATTACTCAGTGAAAGCATCGCTAAAATAAGGAGAAAGCTTGCTGTTGATAAGGGATTTGGAGAAATGGAAGAGAACAACGCAAATACAATATGGCTAACCAAAAAGATATGTGAAATATGACACAAATAACATTGTCAGTCAAAAAGAAATATTTTTCGTTGAGGACAGGCAAACAGGTCTAGCTGCATTTCTGTCTCAACTAACAGATCTCTATCATGCGTAAGTATTCATTTCAGCGCCACCACACAGGATGCTGCTCAACTTGGGACTGAGGTGGTTCCCCTGAACACAACATGCCTACATATTTAGTTGTTTACCCCAATTCCAAGTCCACAATAACCAAAGCTGTTTTTCAAACATAAAAACACTTCAAAAACTTCACGGAAAATGGAATCAGAACTGCAAAGTATTTAGAACCTACTCAGAGTTCATAACATGTATTTCCCATGAACTTTTCTGAAGACCCTTCATATCCAGTCAATCAGTAATGAACGAATTAGAACTTCCAAGAAAGCAGCCATTCAAACCCCCAATTATTATGAAGGCATAGTCAAGACTAGCATTAACACTTAGTGAAGACAGCAGAGGACCAGAATAAAGACAGTAGGAAAAAAAAAATAGAAATCAAATTAACTAGTAAGTACCATCACTACCCTAACTGTGGAAACAAAAGCTAGTACTTAGGGTAGGAGTTATTGGCAAAAAGACCTGGTAAAGCATATTACTAAACCTACAAAAGTAAGCACTCTTACATAAATAAAATACTTATTTATAATCATTAGGTGCTCTCATTTAACTAAAATATAATTATAAAATATTAAATGGTAATGTGGTATACAACAGTGACAAATTCTCACTTTTTTTAAGTACTAGTAACATAAAAAATTTAGTTCATAGGCATTATTTTAAGGACAAGAAGAAATATAGAAATAAAATAATTTTCAGTCATTCAAGGTACATAGTCCTGCACACTATTATTAATATATGTATACGTTATATAAGACCTGAATAATTTGTTTAACCTGGAAAGAAATTGATCCTCTGTCAACTTTATTCCCACACAATAGAGCAAATAATACATTCAACACAAAAGCTAAAAACCTGGTTCAAATCCACTTCAGGATGGAAACATACTTCACCAGATGTTCTTTTAGCACTAGATAACACACAAAATGACTTGCCTCCCATTCCAGGATTTCTGGTTTTGAACAAAATGAATTTTTGCAGTAGTTGCATTTCAACTGAATATCACTTGGTGCTACAAACTGACCATTTTGAGAAGACTGCATGCTTAAAGCCTGAAAAAAATAAAATAATTACTGTTAATATTTACTATGTACACAAAATAATCTCTAGCTTAAATATTTTTGCAGCACATTAAAATTATATCTCTGAATTTTATCTTTAATATGAAAGTCACATTCTAAGTTCTATAAAACTGAAATTCAATATACTTTACAGGATTAGGTACAATTAACCTATACCAGCAAAACAGCATGAAAAAATCAGTTCAAAGCACATGTAAGCAAACAGAAGGGCTGCCAAATCTGACCAACCAGACAAAAATTAAATTAAAAAAAGTCCCCATTACTCTTACCAATAACCATCTAATTCACAATTTGCACCACTGTAACACTGTTGCATTTTTACTCCAACGCTAATAAACTATATTACTTCTTAGCTTACACAAAATTTAAAGGGAAAGCTAACCTATTCAGTTTTTTAAATTTCATAATCACACTGAATGCACTATTGAGTACATTTTAAATATTAAACTCAACAAATAGCAGATACATATTACATATGCATACATTAACACGGTGAGAGAAAGCTTTATCATGTTCAAAACTTCTGAACACTCTGTACAGCACAAATTTTGTGAAAAATACAACATGTCTTAAAGTATAATTTGGAAAAAAATGAAGTGTATTTAAAACATATAAATTTACTAAGAATAACCAGAAGAAAAATCAATATGATGGCACATTGAACAGTTTGAACTTTTCCATTAAAGTTAACTATTTCTAGTGAAGTGGAATGTTCTAGTTTGAATGTTTGCATACCAAAAAATTCACACTGCTGTAGGGGCTTTTGGGGTGATGAGATCATGACCCAGTCTCATGATCTGGGTGAGGCACTGATAACGGGAGAGCAGCTGCAGGAGCGTACGTGCACATCCCACACCTCACAGATGTCACCCAGGAGGATCTCCCCTCACAAACCTGCCAGGCTGACACTGTACCTCCCATTCACCACAAGTACCAGAATACGAAGCTTAGGCACTGTGTTACAGCAGCCTAAATAGACTAAGGACATGAGATATTTAATAGCATACATGTTATAAATATTATTTGTACATTATTTAATATAATTGATACATTACATATTTTATATATAGTTATCATGTCCTTTTTTTTTTTAAACAAAGATATATCTATTTTTATTGTAAAAGCAGATTTACAAAGTGAAGGAGAGACACAGAAAGATCTTCCATCTGCTGGTTCACTCCCCAAGTAGCTACAACAGCCAGAGCTGAGCTGGTTTGAAGTCATGTGGGTGCAGGGTCCCAATGCTTTAGGGCATCTTCCCCTAATTCCCAGGTCACAAGCAGGGAGCCAGAAGGGAAACACAGCAGCCAGGACAGGAAACCAGCACCCATCTGGAATCCCAGCACTCACCAAGGCGAGGTTTAACCACACTGGGCCAAAAAGAATAATACCTTGTAACAAGTGCGCTCGATACATGTCTTAACACATGTTTTGCCTTAAAGATAAAGGAAACTGCTTCTGGCAACTCTGTGACAAGTGCAGACAACCTGAAGCAGCCTACAAACCTTTCTGGATATCATCCTCAAATTAAGGTAAGATACACAAAGCAGGGTAGGTGTGGGTGTGTGTTGCAGCATGGTAGCATAGCAAGCTCATCCACTGCAGGCAGCACAAGCATGCCACATGGGCACCAGTTCTAGTCAATGCTGCACTACTTCCCATCCAGCTCTCTGAAGTGAAAGATGACCCAAGTATGTGTCCCTGCGCACACAGGGGAGACCCAGCAGAAGCTCCTGTTCCAGGCCTCAGACCAACCCAGCACCAAGCCACTGCAGCATTTGTGAGTCAACAGACACAAGAGCTGTTGCTCTTCTCCCTCCCCCTAAATAAACTGGCCTTTCAAATAAAGTAAATAAATTTTGAAAAGGTTTAATCAATACAAAAATTTTTAACATGCACATACACAAAGAGCCTCATCAAACTATAGCCATACAAGTTTCAGTTACATGAAAAAAACTGCGTAAAATATTCACTTATTAATTCAATTTACCCAACAAAATAAAAAGAAAAAACTGTAAGAACTGACAACAAACATGCCACAAACTATCCTTTTTCCTTCTGACTGATCAATATTCGTTAATTCCTATAGTTTAAGTGAAGCTAACATGATTGAAGCATTATGTACCACTGGAAGGATCTATCAATTGCCACAACACCTAGCTTTAAAATAAAAGTTAGAACTGAGTGTGAGCCTAGTTTAAGAATCAAACAATAAACTTAACATTCCCTTGGTTAAATCAAAGCCATCTCAATTTAAATGCCAATAACTGGGGATGTCACTGTGGCACAGCAAGGTAGGACACCACCAGTGGTTACAGGGCCCCACCTGGCAGCTACAGTACTCCACTCCAACTTCCTGCTCCCTGGGAACAAAAGCAGAGGATGGTCCCAATACTGGAGCCCTTGCTGGGGTTACAGCTCCGGGCTCCACCCAGCCCCGCTGGTGCAATCTTGCCAAGAGTCAATCTGCGCCTCTGTCTTTCGAGTAAGTCTTCTAAAAGGACTAACCACTAGTAACTAAGACAGCAATTATCACAACAAACTTGACAGCTTCTATGTTCTGTTTAAATAAATTTGTACAGAGCACAGGATCTGGAACAAAGTAAAAAAGGAGTGGATGAATTAACTTACAGAGCAAAACTTTACACACTGGGTTTACACCTTTGGGCAATATCCTAAAAGTAACACCTAAAAAATTAATGCTTGAATCACCTGTAAAGTATTTCTTTCTAGCAGTCAACAGGTGCGTTTGAACTATGCCAGTATTACTATCCCGTCAGAAATACTGAAGAACTCTGGGTGAAAGTGTTTCCCATTTACCAAAATGAAAGAACTGTCTCTCTGTAACTGTGTATTCAATTCAAGCCTGCTGTGAGAAGTCAGATCCCATTTTCATATGACTTAATGAAGCACAGATGCTCATCACTTCCGGGGAAATACACCTAGGACCTTCACTCATTCATCACAGGTTAGGTTTTCTGTAAGGCTTGTATTTTATACAAACTATTTCATAAGACCAGGCACTAACCTCAATTATATCAAATGTGTGTAGCAAAGTAACAATTCAAGCACATTTGTACCAAAGTAGAAAGCAGATGTTTCCTGTGACTTATTTTAGAATCCCCATCCATCAACCTGACCCTCAAAAAAGTAATAAAGCGCATTACACTGCTGATTTTCTATGTGTTGTTTTCTTGGGAGTGGAGGGGATAGAAAATAAGCAACAAACCTGAAATTTAGCCACACAATTGGAATTGCAAAAGTTATACAGTTTTCCATCAGGCATCGTGGCTTGGTACTGAGGTAAAGAGTTTCGCTTACAAAAATGGCAAATTATTCCCAAACCTAAAAGAGAAAAGGAACATATCTGATTTTGTTAGAAAGCAATGGAAGTTGTTGTTTTTGTTGTGTTTTTTTTTTAAATCTTGCAGGCGGAGACGACTTTTAGCAGAGCCTTCTATCGACTATTCTTTTAATTGCATCTTTAGCAAGTCACGAAATACAAATCTGGTATTATGTACTGAAAGATACGTTACATCCACGTAACTTTGGGAAGGAACAACAATTTTAGCTAGAACACTACTTTGAAAAATCAAGAAGTTAAATTAAGAAGTGTATGATGACGCAACTAACGAGAATAGTTTTGAAGTGGCATAACGTGATAACAAAATAAGAAAATTAAATCATTTTAAGAACTGGCATAGCCCAGCTACAGACACGTGCCTAAGTTACCTTGCACCTAGTCAAGTGTTAGAATGCCGAGAGAAAAACAGGCGATAGCTGGCGGGGACTCCAAGCCTACGTAATGCCAAAACTATGCTAACTATCCCAGCGTGTCAGCAGTCGTTTATTTTTTTTTTTTAAGATATGTGGGGAACTTCACCCATCACCGTGCAAAGCCACAACATGGAAGGTGTTTAATACCAGGCCAGGACCATCCCGGCCCCCATGCTGCAGACTGCCTGGGGAAGGGAGTTGGGGGCCACTGAAGGCATGTCTGACAGGTGAGGAAGTCATTCCTCACTTCTGGGGGCATCCACAGACTGGGCCACAGCACTCATAGGTGAGGGAGCTGAGGCAAGGTGCTTCACAAGAGGAAAATCAAAAACTAAGTCTGGAACAGGCTGTAGTACCCACCAGCAAAGGCCATGACTGGTCGGCCATGACAGGCTGGCCTGAAGGAACTGAGAGCTCACACAGCATCCGGGGCTGGTTAACAGGCCTGGAAGGGAACTCTGAGGACACCCCTTCCAGGCCATAGCTCCCAATGGTGAATGCAAGGGCCCAGAGCAGAGGCAGGCAAGGAAAGCTGGGGAAGGCTGCAGCATCCTACCACATACATACAGGCTGGGTCTGGGGGTGGGCCACTAGAACCAGAATGGGTATGGGATAGACTGGGTTCACGTGACAGCCAATTCTGGTGATGGGCAACAAGGGCACCCATCCCTCTCAAATACAAAAACATTAAAAATAAAAAATTTTTTAATGTTTTTAAAAATGTTTAAAAAGCACGAAGACAAGGTTAATGGAGAAAGAGTAATTATTATTTGTGCAAAAAGTTAAACTTTCAAAATACCTGAAACTTACTTTGTGATTTTGCATATTTCGTCTTGTGACTGTTCATGCAAGCAGTTGAACAATATGGCTCCATATATCCATTAGGACCTATACACTGAGTCATATCAAAAAACCTGCACTGTGCCCGGCAACCAGTACAAGTTGTCAGTTTTCCATATTTCTAAAATTACAAACACAAAAACAAAGTTTTTAAAGCTACAATTAGAAAGGAAGTTGTATTTTTCGAGACACCTTCATATCTGTATAAACCATTCTATTAAAATTCTAGCTTGACTTACAAGGTCAAAACTTGTCATTGAATCAACCCGAGCTGTTGGATCAATTAATCAATCCAGCAGCCGCCACACCCATCGCTACACTTTTACAACTAAAAAAAAAAAAAAAAACCTAAACTTTTCTAACTCAAAAAGGACACTATACAGAGAATAAAAGCATTACCGAACAGGATATTTGCACAGTACCAAAGATAACCTGTCAAACGCTTAGATAAGGAGGGAAAAATAGTAACCTAACCCTCAAAACATGAGAGACATCCTCCACAACCCTTAAGCAAGTAAACCAAGTTAAAATACAGTAACAGCACAAGCAGAAATCATATGCTCCCTTATATGAAATATTGATAAGAAACATAACATCATTTACAAGGTCATTCAGAACAAAGCTGTACTTTCCAAATCAAGAGTTGAGAAAAAAAATCAACAAACAAAAATCAAAGGCCACTCTACAAAATAACAGAAGATCAGAGCAAGCAGCATTGGGAAAGGAAAATCTTGCAAACTGCAGTGATACCCAAAAAAGGTTTAATACCTAAAGATATTTTCAATTTCTTTGAGCTCAGCATTTATGAAAAGAAACAATCTAGACACCAAAGAACCATACAACCACCAAGAAACAATAGGCAAAATAACTCCTTTCCAGGAAAGAGGAGACAGGAGGTTCAAACTATCCTGTGGGGCTACCTACACAGCATATACAAGACTGGGGCCAAAACTGTGCGGCAGAGGCTCAAGGTACCCCCAGGAGGCTGGCATCCCATAAGAGCTGCAGCCTGTGTCCTGGCTGCTCCACTTCCAAACCAGCCCCTTGCTAATATACACCTGGAGAAAGCAGGAAAAGAGGACTCATCTGTCTGGGTGTCTTCACTCAACTGGGAGATGAGTGATGAAGGATCGGGCCTTGGGGAGTGAACCAGGAGAAGGAAGATCTCTCTTCCTCTCTCTCTGACTTCCAAGTAAAGTAATATATATTATATACTAATTAAAATAAATTTTAAAATTCTTAATATACATATTTAAAATTCAGAAGAAAACATGAATACAAGACAAGGAATACAAAACAAAAGAAAAATAGGACTTTTGAGATGAAAATCAGATAATCTGAGATTAAAATTACACTATGCCATTCCTCGAGGCATGCCCCACGTCAGGGACCCAGGGATGGTTGGGAGGTTGGCAGTGGCTTCTCCCCCCGTCTTTCCCCTTCCCCCAGACAGAGTAATGCAAGAAGAGAATGAAAAATGACAGTCTTACCCACCTTCTTCTAACCCTTGACCTTTTGCACCCTAATTACATATATAAAAAAGTAACAAAAACAAAATAAAAAATTTTTAAGAAGTAAAAACAATACGCTATTAACAGCTGATTCTGAAAACATCAAAATATAGCACAAAAGGAGTACGGATTGTGGGGAGGGAGAACAAGACCCAAAAAAAGCAAAAATGCAAAGTTTCAATGACCATGGAATGAAAATTGGGGGAACTGAGGTCACCGAAGACCAGGAGTGGTACCAAGGTGTGGCACAGCTAATGGAGCTGCCACCTACGGTGCAAGCCATCCCATACTCGTAGTCACACAGGGCTCCAGTTCACGTCTAGCTGCTCCACTTCGGATCCAACAGCCAGCTAATGGCCTGGGAAAAAGAGCTGAACATGGCCCAAAGGTGTGACTCATTCTACTTCAGGGAGATATACAACAAGGATTTTATTATTATTATTATTATTATTATTATTATTATTATTATTATTATTATTACTTCGGAAAGGCAGATTTACATAGAGGAGGAGAGATGGAAAGGTACTCTGTCCAGTGGTTCACTCCCCAAACGGCTACAACGGCCGGAGCTAAGCCAATCCAAAGCCAGGAGCCAGGAGTTTCTTCTGGGTCTCCCATATGGGTGCATGGTCCCGTGGCTTTGGGCCACCCTCTACTGCTTTTACAGGCCACGATCATTAATTGGACTCCAAGTAAGAAATAATTTTTTATTGGCTTTAAGGGACATTAGGGAACAAAATCTAAAAAATTGTATAGATTAATGTAATAATCTATCAATGCAAACTTTATTTTAATTACTGCATTATAGCTAAAAGTTCTGGTTGTATACATTAACACACTTCTGTTCCAATTCATTTACATGGATTAACATAAACAAAGGATTCAACTCTTCTTTTGTGTGGTAGTATGTATAAGATATTATGCCTTAAAAATTATGTCTGAAAACAATTTTTAAAAACATCAATATATAAAAGCAAATGGGCATCACACAAGAAAATACATGTAAAATTCAGTGTAAACAGAATATTAGGCCCTATGTGATGATTCAGTAACTCAAACCTTACCTTGCAACCATTGGGATCCCATATGGACACCAGTTCTGGTCCCATCACTTCCCACCCAGCTTCCAGGTTATATCCTAGAAAAGCAGTAGAGGACGGCTCAAAGCCTTGGGAATCTGTACCCATGCGGGAAATCTAGAAGCTCCCATTTCCTGCCTTAGGATTGACTCAGCTTTAGCTGTTGAGACCATTTGAGGCGTGAACCAGTGGACAAAACCACCTTTTTCTGTCTCTCCTTCTCTTTATGAATCTACCTTTCCAACAAAAATAAATAGATCTTAAAAATAGAAAAGGTGATATCAGTCTTTAAAGAGATAAACTTCCATCATGTGATCTCATGTATTTTTATGTGCTTCAAAATAACACCTGACTCTTTTTTTTTTAAAGATTTATTTATTTTTATTGGAAAGTCAGATACACAGAGAGAAAGATCTTCTGTCTGATGATTCACTCCCCAAGTAACTGCAACGGCCGGTGCTGCACCGACCCAAAGTCAGGAGCCCAGATCCTCTTCCCAGTCTCCCACACGGGTGCAGGGTGCCAAAGCTTTGGGCCATCCTCCACTGCTTTCCCAGGCCACAAGCAGGGAGCTGGATGGGAAGTGGAGCTACCGGGATTAGAACTAGCACCCATATGCAATCCTGGCGCGTTCAAGATGAGGACTTTAGTCACTAGGCCACGGCGCTGGGCCCAACATCTGACTCTTGAGATGCATATTCACACTGGAAAGGCTAGGGCCTCAGCCACATTCACGCTGCTGCTTACCTCGGGCTGCATTAAGAAGGAGTCCTGCATGTGATCGCGAACCTCCTTCAGGAAACTTGGATGGCTACCTACCTAAAAACAAACAAACAAAAAGGTTTAAAACATTATACATACATTTAAAGAAGAGCTGATAGACAGCTGGGAAAAAAAAAAATCACCAAAACAATGTTAACTGCCACAGGAAAAAATTATGTAACTGATGAAACAGCAATAATAATAATGCAGTAAGAAGCTAAACTCATGATTTGATTTGCAGAGAAAAACTTTGACTATATTATGTGAAGAGAATTCTTTGCAACCTATTAAACTGTAATACTTACAATGAAATCTCAAAGCATTCAAAATTAAATTATCTTGAGATCAGTTAAAATCTTCATTTTCTGGAAATAATTTGTTTCAAGATTTGTTCTAAAGAAAGAAAGCGTCAAAGAATTTACTACCTTCTTTCTTACAGAAACTCTTAAAATTCAAAGACCCTTCCTTTTTCGTGAAAGTCAAATTGTAATTATGAAGAAAAAAGCTACTGAAAGATTAAGGGAAAAGGGGTAGAAGTGAAAATACCTGTATTTACAAAATCGTGCTACGGACAACAGCAATAATAATTTTTAAAAAGCTAATTTTTAAAAAGGAAGACACAGCAAAGCAATATACATCGAAAAAGGTTGACGTATAAGACAAAATAATCACAAACATGTGGAATCACAGTGAAGGAAGAAATCAACAACGTCAAAGTGGAAAGGCACAATTCTACAAGAACATCAAGTCTTCAGGTTCAGCATGATAGCCTAATGGCTAAATCCCGTCTTGGATGTGCTGGGATCCTGTATGGACACCAGGTCGTATTCCGGCTGTTCCATTTTCCTTGCAGTTCCTTCCTTGTGGCGTCTGAAAGCAGTTGAGGACGGCTCAAAGCCTTGGGACCCTGCACACACATCAAAAACCTGGGAGAAGCCCATGGTTTCCTGGCTTGGGATCGGCTCAGCTCCGGCCACTGAATCTACTTGGGGAGCAAACCAGCAAATGGCAGATCTTTCTTTCTGGTTCTCCTTTTCTTTTGTATATCTGCCTTTCCAATCTTAAAAAAAAGGGGGGTGAGGGGTTAGTACAATAGACCAGCAGTTAAATGACTCGCCTTGCAGACCTGGGATCCCATATGGGTGCCGATTCTAATCAAGGCAGCTCTATTTCCCATTCAGCTCCCTGCTTGTGGCCTGGGAAAGCAGTGGAGCATATCCCAAAGCCTGGGGACCCTGCACCCATATGGAAGACCCGGAAGAGGTTCCAGGCTCCTGGCTTTGGATCGGTTCAGTTCCAGCCAATACAGCCACTTGGGGAGTGAACCATCGGATGGACAATCTTCCTCTCTGTCTCTCCTCCTCTCTGCGAATCTGCCTTTCCAATAAAAATAAATAAATCTTTAAAAAAAAAAAAAAGGAGCAAAATGAATCTTAAAAGGACAGTCTTCAACACACTATTTTATATAGCAGATATACTATGCTCAACAGAATTTCACTACAATTTCAGGTAGACCTTGAACAACATTATATAGCAAGAGATACGTAGAGACAAATGGATAATGCTCCCAACAAACCCATGAGACTAAGGATTAATCAAGAATGTATAGTATATTGTCTAGGAGAAACATTTTGGGACACAGAGTCCCAACAAATGAATGAAGATTAAAATCACAGAAATCTTTTTCAATTCTAAGTGCAATGTAACCAGAGATCGCCAACAGAAGGAAAACTGAGAATTCCATAAATTTAGGAGTATAAGCTCTGCACTGTAAACCACGCAGGCCAAAGAAAAAGGAAAGGGAAATCGAAATAATCAAAAATATAACCACCAATTTCAAAAAATGGAAAATGTAGCATAAGCAGTTATTAAGAAAACGTTAACTGTTAATGTTTACGTTTAAAACAATGATCTCAAATCTGTGACCTAACTCCTCGCGGAAAGAAAAAGCACTAAGACTAAAAGAAAGTAAGATTACAGACACAAACACAGCAGAAAAATGAAGAGGAACTCAAAGATCAAGAAATTAACCAACTTTTTGGTAAACAAATAACAGTATACAGCAATGGACATTACTGCTGACTTCATACTAACCGATTGCCAGAAACCACTACAAACAAATATATACCCACAGCCTACACAAGCACCAAAACTGACGCAAGAAGCAACAAAATATCAACAGACTAACAGCAAATTGTAAGAAAATAAGCCCAAGGCCAAACTTTCCTATCGGGCATTTCAGTGAATGCCAACAAGAATTAAAATCGGGGCCAGTGCAGTAGCTTAACATGGGCACCAATTCAAGGCCCAGCTACCCACTTCCAAGCCAGCTCCCGGCTTATGGAACGGAAAGCAGTGGAGGGTGGCTCAAATCCTTGCGCCCCAACAACCAAGTGGGAGACCCAGCAGACCATCTCGGGAGTGAACTCGTACAAGGAACATCTCTGTCTCCCCTCCCTGTAAATCTGCCTTTCAAATAAAGAAACAAATCTATTTTAAAAAAGAGATTATTAATTCTCAGACTTTTACCAAAAATCATCAGAGGAGACACACGGATGCCCACTCTGTGAGACCAGCACTGTCAGTCCACAGACGGATGAAGACCTCAGAACGCAAATTAGAAACCCTGACAAATACAGATGTACAAGTTCTCAACAGAACTAGTATAAGATCGCTTAATCATTCTGAAAGATTTTAAGAACTTATCATTGGATGTTTTTACTATTCCATGACGATGTTTTACTCATACTGAAGACTTAACACTGGTAAGAAATTTTTCTCCACAATCTAGAATTCCCACAACTTCTGGAGTTGTCCATATCACCAGGCGAACTCACCACCCACTTTCACAGTATCAATAACCAATAATTCAGCTCATCAAGAGCTGGCAAGGAACTGGGCATCATAGTCTGGCTCCTGTCTTTCATTTAAACATCACAAACTTGCTTTGTTAATAACTCCTCCTGGTTTCTAAAAGGGAGATACTAACTCTGATCTTCAACCGAGCCTCAGGAGTTTCTTCATATCTCATTTGGGCCCTTGCCAAATACGTTCACTCCCATCACTTTGTTCTTCAACATCACATACCAGGAGAATGAAACATGCCAAACTACTGAGGCAGCCATAACGATCACTGATGTTCCACCTTCATAAACATCTCAATCACTTAAATGCTTTTTACAGATCAATCACTAGCAGTGGCCCCCTATTGCTAATAATAACAATGGGTTTTACTTGGAACAACCATTAGTTAGGTTAAATCAAGAAGAGGAAAAGGAAATATGAAATCAGGAGATGTGGGAAACATGAGCCATCTGGGCTGCTGGCATTATGAAAACATACTGTACTCTTCAAGCAGCTTCCCCTCTGTGCAGAGGTCATGTACCACAGGGCTGGCAGGTCAAGCCTACTGGCTCCACTTCTCATCCAGCTTCCGGCCTGTGGCCTGGACAAGCAGGAGCACAGTGCAGGGCCTTGGGACATGCACTATAGTTCGGCTCATTGCCAGTTAGCAAGTGAACCTGCAGCTGAAAGGTCTTTCTGACTCTCCTTTTCTCCGTAAATCTGCCTTTCCAAGGAAAAGAAATAACTCTTTAAAAAAATAATATATGCAAAAAGGAAATTACAGACCATTCTCACTTATAAATCTCAATAGAAAAGTACTAAAAAGCATGAAGACTTTTAAAATATACCAGTTAAAAAAAACTTAAAAGATGTGGTGTGTTTTATTTTAGGAATGTGAAAACCAATCAATGGATTGGAAAATTCATTAATATAAAGAGGGAAAATCCATATTATCCCTTAATAGAGCATCCATTAATAGACCACAAGAAGACTTCAGATATTTGGCTAGCAGTTCAAATGCTCCTTGGTACACTGGCATGAGCCAAATGCAGACTCTACTCTCCAATTCCAGCTTCCTGCTAATACAGTCTGGAGCAGCAGGAGGAAGATCAAAGCTGAGTCCCTCACACTCACCTGGAAGGCCAAGACCGAGAGCCCCGCTCCAGGCCAGCCCAGCCCAGCCTCAGCTACAGCACACATTTCAGCACGACAGGAGCCCTCTCTGCCTGCTTGCCATCTCCCACCCACCTTCCATCTACGTCTCCCCCTCTTCCCTCTCTTTACCCATCAAGTGCCTAAAATTTCAAAAATTGAAAGTGCATTTGCTACTGATAAAGTATTTAATAAAACAGAAACCAAGGCATATGTTTTTGGAAGGATGAGTTTACAACTCATTCCTAAAATCTGCATCTAACTTAGTGAGGAAAGCACTAAAGGAGTTCTCACTGGAACAAGATTTACTGTGGTCACTATTTAAAATTTCTCTAGCACAATAGTAAAGCTTAAAAAAAACCTAAGAACCAATAATGATGTTAAACAAGTAGAAGATGTTTAAAAAGCAATAAATAACATACCCATACATATACATAAAATACAAAAAAATTGACTCAAATAACAAGGGCAAAATTTTTATGATTAATAATTTAAGAATGTTGACATAAAAATCAAATCAAACATGTTGTGCTCTAGGACAATCAAACAGCAACACAAATGTGCGTGAGTGTAGAGCTAGACACAACTTCATCTAAAGGTTATATGGAAAAACGCAAACACCAGCTAGCAAAACCCAGCACAAGTGTCTCCATCTCTCTTTCTGTCTTCCCAGTACAAATAGATCAATCTTTAAAAAAGGAAAAAAAGAAAAGGCTCTTAAGTTAATGATTTTCAAGTTTTTTTCATTTATTTGAAAGGCAGAATTAAAGAGAGATCAGACAGATCTTCCGTCCACTAGTTCACTGCCCAAAGGGTGCAACATCCAGAGCTGGGGTCCTCAGCCACACACGTCCCTCCGAGTCTCCCAGGCAGGCACAGGAGCCCAAGCACCTGACCAAACCTCCACAGCTTTCCAAGAACCATTAACGGCCGAGTTCCAAAAGTGTAGCACATACAAGAATCTGGTTTGAGCACACCTCAGATAAAGTTTCTTTGGAGATCTCCCAATCTAAATGCAGGACTCAGAGCCCTAACCAAGAAAAGAGAGAAGACAGAACAGGTCAACCAACCATCTCAGCTATGATGGACTATGTCAATCAGTGGATTCTTCAAGGACCTCATAGTGCTTGGAGTGGCAGCGATTCATAACTGTTGAACTATCAAAAACCACTTGAACAAGAACGTCAGAGCATACCCTACATCCAGGACCTGGGAGGGTGGGAAATTGGGTTGGCCTTCTCCCTTAATACCCCATTTAAACATGAAGGAAACAATATGGAAAAAACACTAGTCTTACGCACTTTGCTGTAGCCCTTGAACCTTTTTACCCTAATTAACTAGGTAAAGATTGTCAAAATTTAAAAAAAAATGGTGTAAATAAAGTTAAAAAAAAAAAAGAATAAATGCTCAGCCTCTTGAATGAGGTCCTTAAAAAGCAAAACTGGCATAGATTTTTGGGGTAGCAGTTTAAAGTACTGCTTGAAATGGCCACATCCTGTACCAGAGTGCCAAGTTCAAGTCCCAGTTCCTGCTCACACTCCCTGACAGGCAGCAGTATCTGGATCCCTTCTACCCAGAAGACACACAGATTAAGTTACGGATTCCCGTCTTCCACACGGTCCAGCCTCAGCTGTGGTATGCATCAGTAGAGCGAGTCAGAGGATGGAAGATTTATGTATAACCTGACTCTGACTCTCACCGTGTATGCTGTCTCCCTGCCTTACCAGTAAATTAAATTGATAAGAGCAGTCTTTATATGTATAAACCTATAAAACAGGGATTAACACTTTCCCAACATCACACACAATGAAGAGCAAAGCACAAGATTATGGTACCAACTGATGGTATCATACAAACTAAGAATGGAATGGAAAATTCTTACCACCTACAGGTATAATAATGTATAATATATTAAATGTTCATGAGACAGTGGGGACATAAATTTACTGCACTACCAGTCACATACTTAAAAATAACTGGTTATGTCACCACTACTTTATGTATTCACGACACTATACTGTGTGTTAACTGAACACAGGCAGTAGTTTAAAGGCTGGGGGTGGGGGGCAACAAATGAGCTCAGTCTTGCAGCACCATGGCAAATTAAGCCACTGCTAGTGATGCCAGCATCCGAGATAACAGTGCTAGTCAAGCTCTGGATGCTCCACCCCCAGTGAATCTTTCTGTAACAGTGTCTAGGAAAGCAGGAGAAGCTGACCCAAGTATTTCAGTGACTCACACAGGAGACTGCAATAGCCATACCTGGTCAACTGAGGGGTGAACCAGTGGGGAGATCTCACCCCAAAGCCCTCCTAACTGCCCTCTGCCACTCTGCTTTTCAAATATTTCCTGAATTACCATAAAATCTTATGGCATGATATGGCAACAGCTGCTTCTCATATTGCATGCTAACTACAGCTCTTGTTTGCACAGAGACTACATCAAGTAATTGGTTCACACCACGTAGGTCTGAGGAATATTCTATGCTCTACAGTGTTCCTAACAATTAAACCACCTAAGAATCCATTTCTCACAGCATCAACTCCAACATCAAGAAAACTTCCCCGTCATTAAACACATAAGAGTACTGGTGATACAACCCTTACATAATTAGATGCCTTTTATATAAAAAAGGGGGGAGAATGCATTGCCTCAAATTTGTCAAAACAGAACAGTAATATCTATAAACACAATACTAACAGCAGAAAATAAAATAGGAATCACATTTCTTGGATGTTACCTTCTATATACACTGGCTTTCAAGCCACATGTTTAAATCCACACACACACACACAAAAACAAAACTCAAAATTTAAACCAGATAATCACTGCCAAGCTGAGGTTTTAAGATTCAAAAATTTTATTCATAACCACTAAGCCCTCAAAAAGCTTATTTCCAGTAATCTATACGTAGTCATGAACCAGGTTATACCTATGAGATCAAACAGAAAGTTCAAAGTACATTTGCCTGATAAAAGCAGTTCTTACAGTAAAACAATGAGAAGTTCTCAATACATTCAAAGAATGCCAAATTTTGATCAGAACATGAATTACCTGTTTGTATTCACTGACACAACTCTGACAGCAAAATCTTTTCTGCTGACCATCGATCACCAGGACGTTATTCCCAGCACCTTTACTGGGCAAATACTCCCCACACTGCTCACAGCAGTTCATGATGAGCCCGTTGGCCATCCTGTACCTATTAAAGCAGTGGTCACTGCACAGCTTATGAGTCATATTTTTAAAGCTAACTTCATGTCGAATCTGCAAGAAATTAAAAAAAAAAAAACTTTTTTTTTCTAATTTACCTGACAAAGGCAGCTATATAACCAATTATGCTCAAAAAGAAAACAAAGGTGTCCCAATAAAGTCTGTTTGGGGAAAAGGAAAAACTACATCTGGCACTAAAAAAATCCAACAATGACATAATTATGAACTTCTCTAAATATATCAAAAATGATAGGAAAACAAATGCTTTGAATATTGCTAATATTAGATTTTATAAACAAGAGAAATCAAAAAGGACTGATACGCTAAAAATAAATAATGCACAACTTTTAATAATTTTATTTTAATAATGCATCATTATAAATAATGCAAATGAGTATGTACACAAGTTTAATAATATACGTGAAGTTATCAAAAAATATTCCATTCACTTGTTCAACTTCTCAGCAAAGCTTTCTTTACATAGTGAGGCTACTTGTACAAATAAATGTATTAGACAAAAACCAATCCCGTGCTGTATCATTTTAGCTGCAAGTATGACAGCCACCTCAGTACAAAGCAGGCCAACACGGCCGAGTGTCCTCCCCATCTTCCCTTGCAGGGGAAGGGTTTTCATTATAGGACAGTTATAAAACACTTCTCATGTACTCTGCTTTAAATGCACATTGAGAACAGGATATGTAATACAGCCTAGATGATTCTTAATAGAACTAAGTGATAAAGTACGAAAAATACAAACCTCTGTTAGTTTACCACAAATTGTACATCTTGATTTGTTTAGAGCTCCTTTGGTAGGATTCTGCTTGTCTTCATAGAGAGACAGACAAGACGTACTGCAGAATTCCTGAAAGGACTCGCTGGAATCCACCTGCGCAACAATGGTTCCTTTCATTGTAGTTATATCTCTGAAATATAAGACGTGCAACTTACATTTTAAAAGGAATCACACTGAAAAGGAATAACTGACATTTTCCATTGCTACAAAGTAAATCCTAGAAACTAAACACCATCTTAGGATCCGGTAAGTCATTATTTCTTTTTTTTTTTGTAAACCATTACTTCTATTTAGAAACTCTGGGCAATAATGATCAAGTGTAAACCACTATTTTACACTATTAAATCTTTGCCATTAACAGATTCATCTTCAAATTCAGTAAGGTTTCCATACAGATACCAAAAATAGCAAACAAGAAATTATAAAAGACATAGAACGAGTCACAAACTTTTACTGAAGTATAAACATGTAACACACAAGCCTTATCCAAAAATGTTCCTGATTTTTTTTTTTCAGATTCTGAAATACCTGCAATTTAGAGCACGAGCTGTCTTAGAGATGGGACAAGTCTAAACAGGAAGTCCATTTATGTTACATAAGTTCCTTGAGCACACTGCTGAAGATACAACATTCGGAGCACCTGCGGTTTGACTACAACCTACCAAAACGAAACAGACCCAGGAAGCAAATTCCCACTGGGAGCAACAAAATAAATGCTCCAAAAAGTTCTGATTTTTGTGGACATTTAAGAACTCTGATTTTTAGATTACGGGATTCTCGATTTGTATATGAAGCCCCTTGTCTTGTATATGCCCACCCTTTGACCCCAAATAAGCAGAAAACACAAGAGATTCTGGGTCGCAGAAATCATGCATTTCAGAGACTGACTGAATGAACGCAAAGCACCCTTCCTGCCACCCCTCACCCAAGTCATGTCACCCAGCTACAGTTACCTGACTAGAAATGTCACAACACTTCCTTTAGATTCTGAATTTGCAGGTCGCAGTCTGTAGTACTGAGGTCAACTACAGCAAAGCAACCTAAACAACTGTGAAACAACTGCACTAACACTTCATTTCAGTAAACCTTTCCAGAGCTCCAAGATCTAAATATAGCTTTACAAAACTGGCTGCTCCAAGAAATGGTGCAAAAAATCCACCCTTCTCAACTCTGCCTACATTCCGGCTCATTTTTATCAGTGACGCCAGACCCCCCCCAAAAAAACTGCAGGACAGGATCCTTTTTCCAAGACTGGCAAAATGTATACCTGAGCCTTTACCAGTATGCCTAATGTTCACAACAACGATGTATATCACAAATTTCCTCATGTAAAATAACTTTACTTAATCTAAGGACAACAAAATTACACATATTTTAATACAGAGGTAATAACACATAAGCATTTCATGCTTAACATTTCTATTTTGGTAAGACTAAAGTCATAATTAAAGTAATAAACATGGATTTTTAAAATGCCAGGAATACAATGGAAAGTACAGTAAAAATTGATAAAGCCGTACCCAAATGCCTTTTCTCCATTAACACCTAAACTTGATAAATTTCTAGTGCCATCCCATATATGAGTTTAGCTTCAAAATTCAAACTTGCTTACTCATTTTAAAAATACAAGAAAATCAACACTAACACTTTTACTAACAATTTTCTTAAACTGTTATATTACCTACAGTCAACTATATGGAATTATGTGGAGAGGTTAAGCCTTACTTTTTACACATAACACAAAGTTTCTTTGGAGCAGGTTTGTGAGAGAAGGATGAAAGGCAGGTGGTAGAACAAAAGAGGTGAGCTGATCCTTTTCGTTGATAAGCTGTCTGTCCCTTCTGCAAAGGTTTTTTGCAGTTTGCACATGTGACTTTAACGGGTTTTGTGGGTTGCTGCTGGGCTGAAGGCGGAAAAATCTGCTTCGGAAGTGAGGCCACTGGTGATAAAGAATCCACCCCTGGCTGTTTCTGATTACGGGGGAATGACGCTGATTGGGAGATCCACGAATCTTAAAAACAAAATGTACAAGAAAAAATAATGCAACACACATTTATACACAGTAAAAATTATCATTACAGGAAAGAAATACTTTCAACATCCCACTTTTGCAAATTTAGGATTTTAAAACAGCAGCAACATATAGTAAAAATGTGAGCAGCACAAGTTTCATAGCAAAAACATCTGGTTCTTAATAATGATACTGTACTCCTGAAAACACTCAGAGTAAAAGGCAATGCAAATGTGAATAACTTTAGTTTAGCCAATCTATGACATATATGTATGTACATATTTCAAGTCATGTTTTATACATTAAGCATATCAAGTGTCAATTTTTTTACAAAACAATTTTCAGTGGTTCACATTACAGCTTTATCCCTGTAAGACTGGGAAGCTACTTCCACTCTGTACCACACTGTTCCCTAAACTGGAAGTGGCACTCATCTCTATGATGGGAAACATTAAATGAGATAATACATGTAAGAAAGCAAGGACTAGCATACAGAAGGTACTGAAAATATAAGTCATTAGTTACTCAGCAGAAAGTACTCACGTAGCTAGAAAATACTAGTTAGGCAAAGAACACGTTAATATAAGAAAACAAATGTTAACCAATTAGAATGTTCAATAAATAACAGTTATACAAATCAGTATACAAAAACATCTTCCAAAACTTTTGCATATGTATTTAGTTACAAATCATCTAAATATATCACATATTCTCACAAAAACTAGCAAGCATGCATTTAACATATACTGACCAATGCAACATTAAATTACTCTGCCAAATTACTACCACCACTAAGGTACTGCACAGTACTGAATACATGTGACTACTAATCAAAGAGTATGGAGTTAATATATGCTCTCTTTCATGCTAACCTTAATACTCATCAAGCAGTCTCATTTTGTTGTTGTAATAGTTACCACAGGCCTCTCATAACATACTCCAATATTTTACCCCACTTTCATTTTGAAATTTTGCAAGTCAGTACTTCTAATTTCTACTGTGCCTTGCTCTCCCAATTTTTTTTTCTTTTCTCATTTTTTCTAAGTTTTAAACTCCCATTCACAAAGGCTACTACTCTTCTATGGAAAGCTCAAACATAGCCAGAGCTCAGGGAAATGACTCCCCAAACCTTGAAGAGAGCAGTGTCTTATTTCAGCCACTTCTTCCACGTACCAGCCAAGGGGCTGACTCACAGCTGTTCAGATTTTACCTGACTCCATTTAAACCCTCAATAAAAACAAACAAGCTAATCTGACACAAAAATATACATTATGGTACATTCTAGAATCCCAGTATCTTGCTATCACCTTGTTTAATGAACAGGTAAAAAAATACAAATCAACAAAGTAAACAAAGCATACAAAGAAAACAAGGGTCTTAAACATTATACATACACAAATGCCAGAAGCACAAACACCATGTCCAAAGAACTTTCAATGTTTAGATTACTCATTTCAATACACACTTTAAAAAGAAAACTATTTAAATCCAATAATCATCTTTTCAAATCAAATTTAGGCTTTGTATCAATAAAGGAAGGCCCTTTATATTTTAACTCTAATATTTCCTCTACTTTCTTCCTTTTAGGTCTCCAACATCAAAAGAAAACTTTAGGAATAGAAGACACAAAATCCTTTTGTCTAAACCCCCAATTTCTTAGGAAAGACATCAAGAAATAACATTTAAACCTGCACAAGTCATGTTAGTTCAAGAACAAATGTAAATTTTTAGTCAGAATTTTCAAATTCCTCAACTGTGCTCCCTATCACAAATAAAAACATCACCTAAACAGAAGAGCCATCTCATCAATGCAACACCAAGAGGAATGTAGGCTTGCTTGCATTTTCCTGATGAGTATTCCAAATTCCCTGGTTTTGAGAGCTTAATGGGAGGCCAGCATTGCAAAGCAGCGAGGAAGCCACAGCAGCGATGACAGCATCCAATCAATGTGAGAACTTGTTTGAAGTTCACAATGCTCCACTTTGCAATCCAGCTCTCTGCCAGTGCATCTGGGGGACAGTAAGTAAGCCAAGTGCTCTGGACACTGCTACCCATGTGGCTGTCAACCTGGCCAAGCCCTGGCTGGCGTGAACATTGTGGGAATAAACCAGAGAATGGTTTATTCCTCCACAACCCTACTTGTCACATAAGTAAATCTTTTCAAGAGAAGTTTAACAGAAACGTATTTCACATAATGACAGAAGTCCTCAAACAAGGCATTATTCCTACTTAAGCATATATACACAAAAATATTCTCCCAAGTATTTCAACTTGAAAAGCTGAAACTGGGCTAAACAGAGAACCAACAAATTTCACACACATATGCCTGAAACGGACAAAAGGTGAAGATTTAGTGTTAGGTAAAGGATGGCAGAGGCTGCAACACTGTATGTTCATCACAATCGCAAATTAAAACCTAACGTGCACTCTTAACTAATTTTCAACGGTGCGACTGAACGATATTTCCTTCCAAACACTCCATAGTGTTCCATTAAGTTTACTGCATAACTACTTCAAATTATTTTGAACACTATCATTTTTAAGACTTTCATGTAAGGTAGAAAGTTACAAATGAAGATCATCCTAAAGTACAGCAGGCAGCAACATAAACAGCTAAGAACTGGACCCTGACAACAGTCATTTTTACTTAGTAAAATCACAAGGAAGCTTCTCCCATTGTTAACTAAAAGTTTTTGGAAAAAGAGACCCAGTGCAATAGCTCAGTGGCTAAATCCTCACCTTGCACATGCCAAGATACCATAGAGGCACCAGTTTCTGAGCCAGGTGCTCCAATTCCCATTCCACTCCCACTCATGGCCTGGGAAAGCAGTAGAGCATGGCCTGCGCGATGCTGATAACCTGTGGGAGACCCAGAGGAAGCTCCTGGCTCCTGGCATTTGGCTCTACATCAGCTCAGCCCTAGCCACTGCAGCCACTTGGGGAAGTGAACCAGCAGATGCAAGATCTTTCTCAGTCCCTCCTCTCTGTAAATCAACCTTTCCAATACAAATAAATGTTTAAAATAAATAACATAATGAAATTAAGAGCAAGAGCGGGAACAAATAGCAGGCGAGAGCAGCCATGCACCCCCACTGCTGGCTCTCACCAAATGCCTACAAACAGCTGCTCTAGGGCACAGCCTAACACAAAGCCAGGAGCCAGGAACTCCATCTTGGTGTCCCAGATAGGTGGCAAGGGCTCCAGGACTTGATCTGATGGGCAGGGTATGCATCAGCAGGCAGCTCAAATCGGGACCAAAGTCAGGACAACACTCCAGGCACTCCAGTGTGGCATCTTGGTCACAGGTCACTCATCCTAAATTTGTACACTATAATGTTTTCTCAGAGCAAAGCTGACCACAGAAACCCTTTCAAATACCAAAACATCTACCCAGTCTCAAAAACAACAAAAAGGAAACATTTATCAAAAACCAGAATGCAACAAGCCGGCAGAAATAAACACAGAACGTTCGAACTCATGGAGTCACATGCAGTTAATTACGTACAACCATTAAACATCAATTGTACCTTTAAAGAGATTTTTGAAAAGAGAAAAGGATGTGTTTGGCTTTTTATTTTTTTAAGGAAGCCAGAAAATAAAACCCTTAATTGTTAAGAAAACAAAAATTACAAACACAGAAAAAGGGCAACCTAAACGCAATTTTTCAAATGTGCTTTGCTTTTTAAAAAATTCTTAAAAGCCAGAAAGATACAGAGGTCAAGGGAGAGGCAGAGCAAGAGAGAGATCTACTACCTGCTGGCTCAGTCAGCACTGGGCCAAAAGAAAGCACCAGGAACCCGCTGGCCCTCGCACGGGAGCTGCTGTGGCCCAGCCACTTGGCCCATCACCTGCAGCTCTCCCAGGCACACGAGCAGGGAACTTAATCAGAAGTAGAATAGCTAGGGTCCAAACCAGTGCCCTCTATGGGATGGCAGTGACACAAACGAGGCTTCACACACAGTACTACAATGCCAGCCCCTAAGAAACAGATATTCCATCCACTGCCGGTTCACTCCCCAAATGCCTACAACAGCCAGGATGAGGCCAAGCAGAAGCCAGCATCCAGGAATTCCACAGCAGCCTCCTACTGCACAGGAAGAACCCAAATACTTCAGCCCAACCTGCTGCCTTATAGTGCTAGGATTCAAACCCAAGCACTAGCGTATAGTATGTAGGCATCTTGACTAGCACATCATTAAGCAAAATGACAAACATTAAATATAAATATTGTATAACATTACATCGTTCTTTGTAAGTGTAATCATTTTCTTGTTCAATTAACGTATTAATCAACATATTAAGCTTATCAATACTAGGTAACAAATCATCAGACATTAAGGTCCTCAATGTTCACAGTACTATTATTTCATAACCTTTTAAAAATAAACCATTCTGACTTTTAAAAAAGATTTATTCATTTTAATTAGAAAGAAAGAAAGGAGACAGAGAGAAAGTTCTTCCATCCGATGATTCACTCCCCAGGTGGCCGCAATGGCTGCAGCTGAGCTGATCCAAAGCCAGGAGCTTCTTCCAGATGTCCCACACAGGTGCAGGGTCCCAGGGCTTTGGGCCATCCTCGACTGCTTCCCCTGGATGAGAGGCGGGGCTGCTGGAACACAAACCAGCGCGCACGTGGCAACCTGGCACACGCAAGGCAAGGACACTACACAATGAGCTATAGCGCCGTGTCCTCTGATTAATTTTCTAGCAATCTTCACACAAATACTACACACGGTTTTACAGCTTCAAACGAAGTCCACAGAGTTGGTATATTCCCATGTCATATAAACTGAACCAGACAGCAGCCCCAATCAATATCACTTACTGCTTACCAGGATTGTGGTGAGAGGCAGACTCCCCATTCTGAAACACATCTCCTGCCACATGCATTCTACCAGGATTAAAAGGTCCTACTCCAGTCTTGGTCTGTGAAGTTAAAGTCGGGGTGTATGTTTGTATGTTAACACCGAAATGACTTGACTGCAGTCCATTAGAGACATCGCCCAAGTTGGTGTTCTGCAGTGACGTGACATGTGTAATCATTAAGTTCATATCTCGGCCGTCAGTATTTTCTAACTGGCCATCATTCACAGAGCTTACACCAGTTTCTAAAGTTGTGACATTAGCAATTTGAATTTCGGAGTCTGGTTCTGTGGTGATACCACTGTTACCCATTCCTGCATTTACCTTACTTCTTGAAAAACTGGAAGGAGAGAAATCCACATCATTGGTTCTGTTTTTGGTCTCAGAAGGTCTTCGCTCAACAAAGTTAGAAGGATTTTTCTCTTGCCCTTGATTTGTTTCCATGTCCTCTTCATCATCGATGACAATTGTTTCACTTACACTTCCCTTCTGAGAAGCCAACTCTTTTGAAGAAGGAAGGATTTTTGAATCGTTTCCTTGGTGTTCCTCGTTTTTGGACGATGCGAATGCTGTGGTTCTTTGATCAGCCCCCACTGGAGCAGAAGGTGGGGTAGGTTGTACGGGTTCAATAAAAACCACATCATCATCATCTTCTACTGATGAGTTCTGAAACTTATTAGATCTAGATACCAAAGGATTCGGTGGGCCACTGAATGAATTCCCTACATTCGTAAGACTGGTTGCCATGGCCAAATTCCCCAACAACACGGGCGTCTGGTCAGTCAGTTCTAATCCTCCCAATGAGCTTGTGTCCATGCCAAGGAACCTGTTAACAAGGTTGAAAAAGCAAAAAGATTAAAATGAAATAATTTTTTTTCTAATATCCAGGTAAATATATGGTACACACTGGGATCCCCTCACTCAATAATCATTTGCATACGGTGTATGTATTAACTTTACAAGTACCAAGACCTTCCCCTTCGTACGAATCACATACACTCTATATCTACTGTCACCACCTTCATCCCAGATTACACTACTTGTAAACTTTAACCAAGATAATGTAAGTAATCCTTCCACAGAGTGGAATAGAAAAACAAAACCTAAAATAAAAATCATCACCTCAATAACATCTATCCCATTTACTCCTGATTCTAAATAAAATAGTTCAGTCTCTAATTGCTCAGTGCCCAAATATTATCTTCTTAGGAAAAGACTTATTTTTATTGAAAAGTCAGATATACAGAGAGGAAGAAAGAGGCAGATCTGCCCGTTGGTTCACTCCCCAAGTGGCCGCAATGGTCAAAGCTGAGCCAAACTGAAGCCAGGAGCTTCTCCATGCTTCCCACTAGGGTACAGGGTCCCACGTCTTTGGGCCATCGTTGCTTTCCCAGTCCACAAGCAGGGAGCTGGATGGGAAACAGAACAACTGGGAAACGAACCGGCATTCATATGGTATTCTGGTGTGTGCAAGATAAGGATTTAGCTACAAAGCTCCTATACCAGGCCCCAAATTTTATATTTCTCTACTCTACTTTTCTCATTGCCCTGGCCAAGTAACTATGTATTGATCAAGTGACTATATAATCCAATTTTTCTGAAAATCTGAAATTATTGCTTCTATAATCTGTGTATTTTACATCCATTTAACAGGCTAAGTGAATAAAAAGAAATGTGTCCACACCCAGGACCTATAAATGTAACCATACAAGGAATAAGTTCTTTTTTTTTTTAATTGGAAAGTCAGGTATACAGAGAGGAGAGACAGAGAGGACGATCCTTCATTCAGTGAGTCATTCCATTCCCCCACGTGGCCTCAACAATCAGAGCTGAGCCGATCCAAAGCCAGGAGCCTCCTTCAGATCTCCCAAGTGGGTGCAGGGTCCCAAGGCTTTGGGCCATCCTCAACTGCCTTCCCAGACCACAAGCAGGGAGCTAGATAGGAAGCTGGCCTGCTGGGATTGGAACAAGCACCCATGAGACCCAGGCCCGTGGGAAGTGAGACTAAAGAGAGATCTTATGTCTGTGTGGGCCTTATGCATAAATAGCCTTGTAAGAAAGAGGTAGAGGAAGGCCAAAGGCAAAACAAAACACAACAAAACCATGTGGCCAAGGAAGTGGGTGGCCAGCGTAAAGTAGGGGAGGCAAGGCACACATCTCCCAGCAGGGCATCTCAAGTAAGCATGGCACTGTTGACACCTTGACTGATTCCAATGAAAACGATTCATACTCCAATACAGTAAGAAAAAATTCATACTGTTTTAAGTTATTATATTTGTGGTAAATTGTTACAACACCCACAGAAACTAAAGCAATCTATTCCTATGTTACTCTCCAAAACAATCCCTGATGTAAGCATAAATTTTGTCCCATTTCAATTATTAGAAATTGTGGCTTTAAAATGTTAAATTATTTCAAAAACATAGTTCCAACAAGTGCTCAGGTCTCTAGAACCCAAACTCTTCTTCATTCTGCAATATATAAGTATTTTTTTAAAGATTTATTTATTTCTATTGCAAAGTCAGACATACAGAGAAGGGGAGAGACAGAGAGGAAAATCTTCCATATGATGACACACTCCCCAAGTGACCGCAACGGCCAGCGCTGCACCAATCCAAAGCCAGGAGCCCAAAACTTCTTCAGGGTCTCACACACAGATGCAGGCTCCCAAGGCTTTGGGCCGTCCTCCACTGCTCTCCCAGGCCACAGGCATGGAGCTGGATGGGAAGTGAGGCCATGAACCAGTGACCACATGGGTTACCAGCACTTGCAGGCAGTGTTAGTTGAGCCACTGTGCCACTCTGCATTTATACAAATCTTTAAGACTGGCTTAAAGGACCATGTGCATGCAGTGCCAGCAAACGAGTACTGGTTCAAGTTCTGGCTGTTGCGCTTCCCTTCCCATCGAGTTCCCTGCTAATGATTCTGGGAAAGCAGAAGATGGTCCAAGCCCTTGGACCCCTACACCTATGTGGGAGACCATAAAGACAAAGCAAGAACACTTTGGAGTCCTTGCAAGCGGAAGGAAAAAGGTAAGAGAAATAAAAACAACAATTAACAGATCACAGGGTGGACCAATTCTCATTTGTCTTGAAGCTTTCTCTTAGTTTTTAGACCATATAATTTATCGTTTGTTTTTTTAAATGAATCTTTAAAATCTACTTATTGATTTAGAAAGGGGAGACACACAGACAGAGAAATCACCCATCCACTAGCTCACTCTGCAAATAGTAGCTTGGACTTGAGTCAGAATTCTGATACAAAATGTACTCACCTGTCCCAATCAGCAGTTTGCCCTGCTGGATCAAAACACTGGCCTCTAAACTTTAATTTTCTTAAAGCATTATTTTTGTAGTTGTTGTTAAGATTTAACTCCTTGGCTCAGGCCTGGCACAATAGCCTACTGGCTAAAGTCCTTGCCTTGCAAGTGGCAGGATCCCATACGGGCGTCAGTTTGTAACCCAGCTGTTCCACACCCCATCCAGCTCCCTGCTTGTGGCCTGGAAAAGCAGTTGAGGATGGCCCAAAGCCTTGGGACCATGCACCAGTGTGGGAGACCAGGAAGAAGCTCCTTGCTCCTGGCTTCGGATCAACTCAGATCCAGCCAGTCATTGCAGCCACTTGGGGAGTGAACCAGTGGATGGAAGATCTTCCTCTCTGTCTCTCCTTTCTGTAAATCTGACTTTACAAGCAAATAAAACTTTAAAAATAAAGATTTAATTCACTTAACTTGCAAGAGTCACACACACAGAGAAGAAAGAGGGAGAGACAAAAAGAAGTCCAGGCCCGGAACGACAGCCTAGTGGCCAATGTCCTCATCTTTCATGCACCAGGATTCCAGAAGGGCGCCAATTCATATCCCGGATGCTCTACTCCCCTTCCAGTTCCCTTATTAAGTCTTGGGAAAACAATACAGGACCCCCTAAATCCTTGGAACCCTGCACACATGTTGCAGTCCTGAAAGAGGCTCCTGGCTCCTGGCTTCAGATGAGCTCAACTCCAGTCGTTGCAGAATCTTTGGGAATAAACCAAGAGATGAAGATTTTTGCATCTTTCCTTCTCTTTGTAGATCCGTCTTTGCAATAAAAATAAATACATCTTCTAAAAAAAAAATCTTTGCACTCCTTGGTGGTCTAGTGGTTAGGATTAAAAAATCTTCCATACATCTAATTTCAAAAAACAATCTTCCATCTTCTGGTTTATTAACCAAATGGCCTCAACAGCCAGAGCTGAGTTGATCCGAAGCCAGGAGCCAGGAGTTCCTTCTCGGTCTCCCGTGTGAGAGTGTGGCCCAAGCACTTGAGCACCCACTGGTGCTTTCCCAAGCCCTAGGCAGGGAGCTAGATCCAGAGAGTGGAGCATCTGAACTCAAACTCGCACTCATATGGGATGCCAAGTACTGCAAGCAGAGGATTAGCCTGCAAACCTGCAGCTTAAGCTAAAAATACAGTTAAGAGAGTAGACACATAACATATCTGAGCAAAAGCATTTACACTGAAATATGAAATAGCAAGAAAGTTACAGCTGTGGTAAAACTGATGGGAGGACCTTGTCGGCAAAGAAAAAAGCTTTTGGTATTATAGAATAAATTCAGTCCAGTTTAAGCAACAGAATAAATGCAATATGCCTGAGACAGAATTGGAGGGTAAGAGAAAGACACTGAAAAACTCATGCAGACCAATAAGTAAATTTATTAATTGTATACAACAGATTCATAGTGTACCTCGTAGATGGCTCTTCAGGCACTTGAAGAAAACAGAAAATCAGTAAACAAAAACAGCACTGCTGCCTTCAGAAATCATCAATTATTTTCTTAAAAAGATTTCTTTTGGAACATGAGTTACAGAAAGAGAGGGACAGAATCTGAGAGAATGCGATCTTCAAGTGCTGCCCCGCTCGCCAGATGGCTGCAGCAGTCAGGGCTGGGTCAGGCTGACAGCAGGAGCCAGGCAGGAGCCGCATCGGGCTCTCAGCAAACGGCCAGCGTTAACTCAGGTTCTAAACCAATCACTCTGGCTGCCCTGTGGCAAAAACTGGAAGCAAGGAAACCACTAGACAGCTCCAAGTAAGGTGTGCTAACATGAGTAGTGATGGGAGCGGTAAGGCAATGGCAGCTGAGGGCACTTCAAGGAGGTGGACAGCACTGAGAGGAAATACCACACAGCACATAATTCAGACTATAGTTCTATCTCCCTAGCACCACTGTAATGCTACACATATTCCAAAAGCCTGCGAATACCGTATTTTTCCTAAGCTACATTTACACATCAATTGAGGAGCGGAAAGCCCTTCAAAACCAGATCTCATCAACAGAAGTAATTTTTGAGCTAGAAGTTTAGGTAGGGGTTGGTTACTGGGGCACAATTTTATTGATCACACTTTAATTTACGGTTCGGACAGCCCGACCCCCAGCAGAGCTGTGAACCAGAGGGAGGCAATCTCTGTTACTCACTTTCCCCCTTTTCTCTCTAACTCTTTCAAATGAATAAATGAATCTTTCTAAAAAGCAAAAATAAGATGTTGGCCTTGTAGCTAAACATTCACTTTTCATAAGGTGGGAGACATTTTAATCAACAAGACGATTTTCACAGAAATGAGATACCAGCTCAGCCCAAACCTAGTATCATAAAATGTGTAGTATTTAATATGTAACCATGTATATTTATGTGTTATAAAATGTGTAGTCTTTAATATGTGTCCTCCTTTTTTTTTTAAAGATTTATTTTATTTTTATTGGAAAGGCGGACAGAGGAAGATCTTTCGACCGATGATTCACTCCCCTAGTGAGTGCAACGGCCGATGCTATGCCGGTCCAAAGCCAGGAGC